GTCTGTTAACATTCAGTCTGCTAAGGTACCCTTTTGACATCTAAACTGTGTCAGGAAAAAACCTGGCGCAGCAGATAACACTGGCAATAGGACAGACTTTAACCTTCAGTCTGCTAAGGTAACCTGTAGAAATCAAATTTGGGGAGAAAGCCTCGGGTAGCACATTTCTTCACATTTTCTTCCATGCCATAGGATTTTGGCATTCTACGACATTGATATCGTTAAAATTCCAACATTTTTGGGGGCAATGTACTTGCCTACTTTGCACCTGCTTTGTACGATTTACAGTAAAGCCGAAAACCTTTTTTGGCAAACAGACAAAAATTCATGTGCACAACATAACTGACCATAGAGAGTGCCAAGATTTGTTTTTTATGGTTATCTGATGATTATTTTGCCTGTAGATTTCCTGCACCCAGAGGAGCATCACTACGAGGCGGCCAGTCCTGTCCTCAGCCGGGCTGCTAAGGTGACTGCCGGTGAGGGGTCAGACCCCGGGTACGAGAACCCCAAAGACTGGAACAACTCGCCTGCAACTGGTCAGTTATTCAAACAATAAAGAAAGCAAGAAATCGTGGATTTCATACCTACACGAAATAGAATTTTGGGGGGAATTTCTTGTTTGACTTATTACTGATTCTGTCTATGCATTTTGCCATATGGGAACAAACATGCATATATTATACGTGGCAGGAAACAGAAGACAGGAAATGAGATAACCCTGTCTAGGATCTCTCTGGGACCTTTGGCCTACCTTCCAGTCTACATTACCTACATGCCTAGCATGTGAAAATAACTAAGGAAACACAACACACACACACACACACACAAACAAACCCTCAGTACAAGTTATTAACATGAATAGAAAATGACTGTGACTTTAAAGCACTCAGTATTCTCAGTATACTCAGCACTCAGTATTCTACAAGCTGTTCTGAAACTGACCATTTTATGTATGTCAGGAGGGTAGGCTAAATGTTCTTATCTGGATTTTACCTGTTTTACTGATTTTTTGGCAATGCCTCAGGGGTAGAGCCTGCTTTATAGTATTGGGTTCTGTTTTAAAATATTCTTTATGTTCTTGATCACAGGTCATGCTGACCGAGCCCCCGAGGGACCAACCAACAACAACAGCCTGCTTCCCCCTGCGGCGCCTCACGTGTACGAGCAGGCGAGCCCTGTCATGCCGCGGGCTCGCGTGGACTCCCGTCTGCACCCCGGCCCCGGCACGAACAACCTCAGCCCGCCCGAGGGACACTACGAGGCCGCCACGCCCGTGGTGCAGCGTGCAAACTTGGGCAACCGGTGAGAACTACTTTTGATACTGCTTGTAAAAGCACAGTCTGGTAATGTTATCTTTAAGGTCTACATGGATACAATCATTATAAATATGTGGTAAAACAGTAGGGCAAATCTCTTTCAACAGCCACTATGCCATATATGGCTGCATATAGCTCTTACTCCCGTCCCCCCAGAGTAAGCATTTTCTTTTTTGACGTATGCAAACTCTTGAAAAAGACGACAAGTGAAATATTTTGCATTTGCTAGAAAGCAAATAACAGCTACTCAGTGTTTTTCTTCAGGGCTAATGGTGTAATACTGAAGTCTGAAATCTGATTTCTTGTGTTTTTCTCCAGTGCTCCTGGTATGAATGGTGACCATGGTCCGTACCAGCAGGCCCCCCAAACCTCTGCTCCCAGCCTCTCCATCCCAACCATCCATTACGAGGCTGCCAGCCCTGTACTACCACGGGCTAAGGCCCACATTGAACATATGGAGAACAGGTAGGGTGTGTGGACTGTACTATACTCATGTATGGAGTGTGTTACACTGATGAAGGTTAGACATCCAAGTAATAAGGGAACCAAAAAGACAGTCAAGCAACTGGATAAAAGCACACTACTCAAGTAACTGGATACTACATGTATCTTGGATATTCCAAAATCATATCCAGTACTGTTGCTTCAATAACTGTTTTTTGGAGTATAGAGTGTGTCCCTCATTTAAATGTCAATTGGTAGCAGCTCACCTCACATTTGTGTATTTTATTGGCAAGCTATAATATTTTTCTGATATTCTCTTCTTTGAGCTGTAGACATCACTCAGTAACTGTTTGAGTCAGAAGATTTTTAGATGTCTGAAAAAGTTTGATCCAGCAACAACAATTATTTTCTTTATTCCATTTCACAGGAAAAGTCTGGAAAATGAGCCTCCACGAGCCCAGCCTGGTCACCTGTGTCCGACCATTACCTACGAGGTGGCCAGTCCGGTCTTACCTCACAAGGCTAACCGGTTCTGTCCAGCCGAGAACGGCGATGCCTCGGGGAGCAACAAGGGCGTCATGTGAGCCTCCCAACGAGCTACGAGATTTAACGCAAGTGACACACGACAACACACAGCAAAACGTACTGCACCTGTGCAAAACCCAGATTTTTCATGGCTTTCATTGAATGTTTGGTCTACGATGCATCAGAATTTCACTCATTGCAGATAATATCTACCCCAACAAAATATTTGAAAACTATAGACGGGATGTCATTCTTAACATGTGAATATGAGCTGTTCTGCCGAAGTGCTATGCACAATACATTACAAGTTTTGCACAGGCGTAGTACGTTTTGCCGACATGCTTGTCTGGTTCATCTTTGTTGTAATGATTTGGCTTGCCCCTTATGTTATTCAGAATTCCCACATATTCCTAGCATGCTAATGGATTTGTGAATGTCTATAGACATTTAGGATCCCCCTAGCTTTTGAGCTAATGATTTTCCAAATTTAAGTCCAAATTAAGGGTTCAGGACTTTCATTTTCAAAACACTGGCCTGGTAAAAGCAATTTATTCTTGACATTTGAGTGTTAGAAAAAAAACCTTTGTTGTATTATATTACTTGGAATGCTAAAACTTCATTAAAGTTAGCTTTATTCAGATGCAAGCTCCCGGTGCTAGGCTACTGGTACATGTATGGTAAAGAAGCAGTAAGGTTTGTAATCGGGTTTTGCTAAAATGCTTCATGTTACACTTAATTCTATGTTGTGCCACTAAATTCTCAGAATAGGTGCACCAGTGCACTTATTTAAAAAATTGCGTAGACTGTGACAGTTGTAGTGCAATCAACGAATGTATATGGTAATCTGTTTCTTGGCAGAGAACCCTTACATAATATGACGACGTGAGCTTTATGTTCAATTCTAGAAGCAAATAAGTAGTGTGCAGTGATCATACTTTTGGACTAAATAGTAAGGTCCAAGTACTGGCCGATTCCTAAACTGTACAAGTTACTGATAGGAGATGCAGTCCTGTAAAGGGCCCTGTGTTCTAGCCACAACTCAAGCAAGGGAAAGAAACATGCATTATTTTGTAGTTGCACATGTCTGTTAATTATTTGCTCATATAAATATATATATGATAAAAAAAGGTAGATACAAGCCTCAGTGCAAGTTTGCCAAAACCTTTTTTTGATTTGAAATGTAGTTTCTTATTACTAACTCAAGGTACAGAACTGGATGTATTGTGATAATATTTTGCATGTATATACAAAGAAATAGCATACCCTATCTTCGAAAAGTAGTTTAAACAAGTGGTAAAAATGATATAGTTTTTGAAAGGAACAAATTTTTCAAGGAAACTGTTGACCTATATTTAGCATGAAAATTGATCTGTGTTGGTACAAGTCATTATGGAAAAAAAGACTAAACTTTATTTCCAATTGTTATCTTATAGATTTATAACTTTGACTTCTTGAATGAAAACTTTAATGTATAATGATAATAGTGTTTGCTTGGACTGTTACTTTTATGTTGATATCAAGAAGTGTGAAGATTGAAAACTTACAAATATTCCTAAAGCAATATTGCTATTGCAACGTTATCATTGGTTGACTGCTAATTGTGATTGACACCAAGGATTGGTCTATTTTGATATGATTAAGGACTTCAATGTTACTTTGGGTTCTGTATGGCCTTTTCAATGGAAAACTACTTGTATTTCATTTTGTGATTATGTATAAAAAAGATCTTACTGGAAAGCAAGAGGACAAAGGTATTCAAACAGAATAGCAAACCCTACATCATGTATCTGTCTATGTACATGTACAACATGTAGTACATATAGAATACTACACGGGGTATTCCGTATCGCCCGAGGTATCGGCCCGACCGTGCGGCCGTCGGGCGATCCGACTCGTGGGAAGGGCCAGGAGTCCAGGATCGAGGGCGATGCGGAATACACCGTGTTGTATTTTATTTATGTCATACCCACCCAAGAAAACACGCCTTTCAATGCAAAATGAGCCAAAAGTTGGTGCCACTAAACCCTAAAATGCAGCAACATCAATTCCAACGTCCGGATTCTGTATTCGAATTTTCGAAAGAGGCACAAGCGGGTAGGGCGAAACACGTTCGAATCGTTTTATGGAAGCCATGGAAGCGTTTGATAATGGGTTCCGAACCGGGCCGTACCGTAAAGTTATCGAACGTTATCAAACGTACCCGTTATCGAACGTTATCGCGGCCCGGGTATGATATAAAGAGCACTACTGTAAGTATAATTTCTGTTATCAATTTGCATTATGTTTGAACACTGTCACTTAGTATTAAAATATCATTGTTGACACTACTTACCTACCTGAGTTGATGATTTGACTCTTAACATTATCTTTCCGACAAAACATTATCTTTCCGACAATTAGTGGTTGATGAGTGGTTTCATGATCTAAACTTTTCAAGTTGCATGAGTGAGAAATTTGGCCCATTGTCAAAGTATTCAATTTGAAACTACTCATTGTTCAACATTTTCCTAAAAAGTGACATTATACATGTATTTCATTATGCGACTTGTACTTTGACACTGCACCAGATTTCAATACCAGCTTTCTGTGGCTGATATTAATTTAAAACTTACAATTTTCTATTTTAACCTTCTCCCTCTTACCTAACCCCATAACTAATATGGCTACAAAAACGGCTACCTTAGCAGAATGAAGATTAAGAATGGGACTCACTGAGTCTGTGGAAATGTGTCTCCTCTTTTCTCCCTGCTCCTCCTGGTCCTGAGCCTTCCTGCAGTTCTGTGATGATCCTACAGGAGGGGCTGCAAGTATACAAAGTTAGGGTGAAGCCTATAAGTTAAACTAACAATTTTAAACATTACCAATATTCGTAGCGATGGGAAGATGACAACGATGAGACGGAATTCGGCCGGTTTCGACTCTATTCAGTCTTTCTCAAGAATGACAGAGATCGGACCACTCCTCCTTTTATACCTTTTACTGTGCCTCTCTAGTGCAGGGCGCTCTGCTCTTAAGATATTGACCAATCAGCATGAAGCATAGGCTGGATTGCCCTGTCCTGAAGGTCTAGTTCACTATGCACTATGAAACATAACTATTTATACATGTAAAAAATATTGAGGGCTTCATGTTTTACCTTCAAAACAGAAAAGCACAAAACTCAAACAGGTATGCAACAGACAACATTTAGACATCTTAATCAACCTTTCAAATCTTTCATACCTTTTTGTTGACCAGTGTCTTTGTAGACGGCCTCTGTCACCGACTGTACAGCTGTGATGATCTGTTGTAGCTGACTGTTGTCTTGTAGACTCCTGCATGTAGTAGTAGTTGACAATGTTATGTACAGAAAAGTGTTAACAAGTTTCCAACTTAGCACTGTCCCTCCCTTTTGTCAAACTCTGTATAAGTGTAAATGCTTGGAATGGCTTTTGAACAGCTGATAGTACAGGGTGGCCTCAATACAGCTCATTTTAATGATATTTTTCAATTACATGTACAGGTACCGTTTGGTTAAAGGAAGAAGTTCTGGATTTTCACCAGAGTCGTTGATACAGTACCTTTTGGTCACCTCCTCCTTACACAGTGGACAGGAGACACTTTGTTTTCCTGTTAGGGCCTTCAAGATGCAGAATCTGAACAAAAGAAGCATTTCTTTATTTATTTATGTACCAAAATATCAACATACACAAGGCTTTCCTTACAAATGGACATGTTTTCTAGAACATAAGAATTCCCCTAAACCAGTTTTTTTTAAGTTTAAAAATGACATTAGCCCAGTCATTGTGGAGGTTTTTAAACAATAAAAAAATGCCACAGGAATAGAAAAGATACATACACAAACTCTTGACTTGAAAAAATCAAGTAGGAAGTTGGAATGGCTTACCTACAGAACTGGTGGTTACATCGGGTGGAGACAGGGTTCTTCAACAGGTCTAAACTACAAGTAACAGCAATGATGTCAGACATTCAAAGCATGTCAAATCATAAAGCAAATCACAACAATCTTAGATCACAACAATCTTAGATCACAACAATCTTAGATTTGTCAAGATTTTCAACATATAAAAAAGAAACCAAAGCCATCATAGCTATAGTCATACCTCCATGAAATATTTGCAGGGTTCTTACCAGGATTTTTTCACAGCGTAGGGGTCAGGTATAGAAGGGCAACTTTCTGCGGCGCGAGTCGTGCACCGAGTCCCCAATACATGGGTCTGATATTCTCCCCCCCAAATTTTGTAACTCATATTAACCACTTAAGACACTATTTATTGTTTATTGGGTGACAGATTTTGTTTTCCCTTTGCTATAGCTTCATTCTTAAGTTATATTTTCATTTTTTTAAAGATTAATGAAGCTTCTGCCCCCCAAAAACACCCCTACGCTGGTTGAAACACAGTGTAGGGGGCTAAATCACAGCGTAGGGGGTCAAAATCACAGCGTAGGGGGCCCCTACGCTCAAACAGTCTGGTGAGAACTATGATTTGTGTAAATTCCTTGTACACATTTATCTATTATAAGAAGTGAACTTAACTCAACTATAATGATTTATCACTAATTTTGCCTATGTATTTTTCGACTGGCCTAACTTTTACCAAAGCAGGCTGTCGATGTCTCCCACAATTTTTCTGGTGCAGGTAATTTTCAACGTTATCAACACCAGTGCAAGTATGCAGGAAAAGGATAATTTTGAGCCCCGACCCTTGTACGTACCATATGGGGCACTCCAGGTTTTTCTGCATGAGGCCCAGGATGTGCCGTACCCTGGTCAGCTCTGTTCCTGTGGTACTGCTGACTGAGTCCATGGTGTCTGTGTTGTCTACAGATATTATTACAAAAAATGCTGAATATCATGAAAAATCACGTTTGTCGTGAATATCATAAAAGTTTGTGGCTGAATATCATGAAAGATCACGTTTGTCGTCTACAACAAACAAATCCAGATAGAGTTGCATAACTTCTCAAATTTTTCACACAAATAAATGCAAGTCACAGAAGCTTCATATGCAAACACTCTCTGTAAAATGTATAAACACAAGTTACAACTGCGACTGACTTGAAGAATTAGATCTTACTATATTCATTTTCCAAAAAAGTAATGATCTAATAATTTCATAGTAAATCTATTGGCCACCATGGGGTGTCTGTGCCAAAAAAAATTCCCGCGAACGCGATCTGTCCCGATCGTGTTTTTACAAATCTCTTCACAGACTATCGCTTTAAATCATACTTGATCTGCGATCCTACATCTTCTGTGGTGACGTTACTATCTTATCTTCTTACCTGGTCGAAGTGTGCTCTGAAGACGCTCAGTCAGTGGAGGAAAAGGTGAAAATTAGAAGGACCGCTTGCTGATTCACACCTCTACAACGCCATTTTGTCTTCGTCTTTCCCGCGAAATGTGGAATGGTCGATTTTAGAGGGAAGACCTGGTAAAAGACTATTTTATTATACCCAATTTTATTAATGAAATACAAAGTTTAATCATTTCTTAATATTTTTATTATATTTTACTTATAAACGAATAAAATTTAATGATATAAAATTTATACAATAGTAGAAATAAAATCTGTAATTTCAAAACACCCCTGTTGATGAACTCAAAGAATGAATTATTCCAATTATTTGTCATGTGACTTACATTGAAATCTCGTTGTTGGGAAAATGTTATAAAATGTTATAAAATAAGGTTATATCTCTTCAGCGTGTCAATAACAAACTTTTGTTTTAGGTCTATGTATTAATTATTACCGGAAAATCCACATTTTTGCGTTTTTTGATCGATTTATATTCCAAAAACTGAACAAATTTCTTCAAGATCTGAGTCCAAATCTCGCGAGGTTTGGAAAGGTTACCTAAGGTCACAGTGATGACGCGTATTCATCTGGTGACAAAATGGCCGAAGGACCTTCACAAACAATCGAGATCAAAATGCACTGCCAATTATAGATTCGATTTGTTGGCGTTTCGTTGGACGATCTTTCTGTTCAAAGGTACGTGTGTAAACTTAAGTTCTCCAAAAATACATTTAAGTAATTTTGAACTTGACGGATGAAACGGTGCACTTAGAAACTAAACTGAACGTAAAAGTTTCCGAAAAAAAAAATTGGCAGCGCATCTGCACGCGAGGAGAGGAGGTTTAAGTTTTGTGGTCCTTGTCCCAAAACTAGTTCACGTGAAAACATTGGAGGTCACTGTATACGAAACAAGAATAGTTTCCCTAACCTTTGTTGTTATAATATCGTCGTTTTATGTTCACCTTTGTCTATCCAACTGCTTTGGATTAACCAACAAATTTCTGGTTTTTTTTTTCAGGTATCACAGCTCAAAAACAGTTAATTTTGGTTGGAGGAAGAGTTAAGCTTTACAAAGAAAAATGGCCACAGCGGTAAGTGGGGGCCCCCAAGCCCTTTTCCGTAGAGCGTAATCGGCCGTTTTAATTCTACGTAGAGCGTAGACGGACCCTCTAATTCAACGTAGAGCGTAATTGGCGAATTTGGCGTAGAGCGTAATTCGCTGTTTTAATTCTACGTAATGCGTTGTAGCTATCGGGAATTAACCGTAAAGCGTAATTGATTAATTGTGCGTAGAGCGTAATCCAAGCCGCAAACGGGAACTCGAGGCCTTGCAAGTGCCGGGTTGTCGCGGCGCTCGAGGTCTTTCTTGCTTTACCCCCTTCTATACAATCGAACAATCCACTAGACTTGTTCCCAGAGCCATACACAAGAACAAGGCAACACATGGGAATGATCCCACAATGCGCTGGGTACGAGATTGACCTTACCATCGGTGACGTACAGGAGGACCATTGGCCAAACGCCACAGATGGCCACAGATGAAGAGGGTAGAAGGCCTTAGAACCACATGACTTGTAAGGCCCAATAGGGGCCCTCAAGACGTTTCTTAGCGGGAACATCATTGCTGATCAATGGCCAGGGTAATGGAGGACACTCCCGAAAAGAGCAATGTCATCCCCGTCATTGTGCGGGTGATGGGTAACGCGGGACCGTCAGCAATCGGCAGCTGAGTCGTTTTGACAAATTACACTGTATTGTTTGCGGCCTTTTCTACCTTCGGACGACAACCCCACAAGGCTCAAAGGTCCACTTTTTGGTCCACTTTTTATCTAAAGGTCCAAGACTTTTCTTTAAAAGATGAACTGATTCGTGTCACCAGCAAGGCTGGAATCCGTTGTAGGAAAACTGCTCACTTTGTCATTGAAAAAGTTATCTCTGTATTTTTTCTTTGAAACCCTCTAAAAACGCTAGGAAATGCCATTTCAGAAGGTTCATTTTTCAAAGTTGGCCCCCCTTCAAAATTCTGGCTACGGCCATGTTACCTCCATTCACGGATCTCCCTCCGATCTTCGGGCGATCGACTCGCGGTCAAGTTGGTACCTGCGGTAATACTGAATACCCCGTTTTGTATTCTATACTTTCAATGTATAAGGAAGTGACCGCCGGTTACTACTTTTAATTCAAGTTATGTCACCTCTACATGTAATAAATCAAAAGGTTTTCACGCAAACATGTAGTTGCTAGGTGATTGTCAGATTGAGTTCTGCATAGTGCGTCCGGAATCTTTCGAATTTAGCGTAGAGCGTAGAGAGGCGTCCGGAATTCAGCGTAATACGTAGCCGGCTCTCAAAATTTAGCGTAGAGCGTTGTCGGGACCCCCCCTTGGAGGCCCCCGTAAGTGACGTAGTCTTGTTATGAGTCTACATCTGTTGTATGGCTATGAGTCACAAGAAACAAAATCCCGTGTGAAAAAATATAGAAAATGCTGCCATATTGTTCACCAGGCCTGTTTTCCTTCATACAGTCATACTGCAATGTTCTTATCTCCAAACAGATGTTGGGTGCAGACAAAAAAACAGTAGATTAGAAAATGTTAACGATTTTCAGTCTACCATCTGCTTGGATGTAAGCTATTTCCTATCTATTACTGTAGGCACCATTTATCTAAGTTTTGTAACACTGGTCCCTATTAAGCACTGTTCTTAGTTCTGACTGAAAAAAAAACACAACAGATAAAAAACGTTAGGATTTTCTATCCCAACATCTGCTTGAAGATACCATTAGTGCAAGTTTTGTAACACAGGTCCCCTATTATAGTATTACATTGTACCCCTCTACTGTTATTCCGTACTGAGTACCCTCTGTGGTCCCCAGGCCCTGACCTGTCGAGTGCGGACACTGCTGTATGTCCCCAGCATGCGTATCCTAGCCTCTCGGGTCCGCGTTTTCTCCAGCTTTGACCAGCAGGAGAGCGTAGAGACATCCATACCAGACCCTCGCAGACAAGGTGATGTCCTGTCAGTATCCTGAGTGCTTCTCAATGGAAAATAACTTAGTAGAGTAGAGTAGATTCTTTGGCCAAGTAGGAATTTGGTTCGAGCTAGTCTGTACTGTTGAAAACACATTCAGCACATACAGCTACAAACTGTACATGTGTAGCAGGCCAGTTGTATGCCCCTGGCTCAAAATGTCCCCCATGGTATATTCTGGCCAGGGGTACCTTTTCTCCCGCTACAGTGGCATTCTATAATTCTTTTTGTTGACGCCTTTGGTGGAAGCATTTTCTTCTTAAACCATAATGGCTAATCTCTTTCCTCGGTGACTAATTGTACATGACATAGTAACATAAGATGTCTGTCTGTGTCTGTCACTGTTGAGTCTGCAACTGTCCTGTCATTAATCCATTGAGAACATCTTCGTCTGTCATACTAGGTAAATTATCTTCCCATGTAAGTAGACTTAGTTAGATGACCTATTTGTCTATCTTAGGACTGTTCCTTATTTCTATGTAGATATAGCGAGTTGTGCTAATGGACTTTCCTGTCCTGTAGGTGAGGTGTCGGACACAGTGTGGCCTGATGTCCACCTCGGTCCCCTGGGTGCGCGTGACCAGCGCTTCCCCGGCCACGTGGGCGCGGCCAGCCAACTCTCGTCTTCCCCTCATCCAAAAACACTTTCCCAGCCGCGGGCCCCTTTACCCGACATTCTAACAGACATGACGGCACATGAACGTCAGTATGATACCGTTCAGCAGTTCCTGCATTCATCTGTGGTGACTGGGGAGGTGCAGGTATGATACCCAGACACCCAGTAGTAGAATCTTCTGTGCTTTAAGTTTTACTAGTTTTAGAGTACTGCCTTGTACAAGTTGTAGTTTTTCTTTTCTTTCTTCTCTCAGTTCTGCGTGTTGAAGACCTCAGGATACCAAACAGGACAGAACCTTTGTTTGCAAGGATCATACAATGATGGTCATACTCATACTCATTTAAAATTGTCTATTTTCTAATCTGCTGTTTTGGCAATACAAGATTTCTTGATTCTTTTTGTCCTGAAATGTCGTGTTTAAACTAAAAAGAGAACAATTTAAAATTGAAAGGATGACACACAAACCAGTAGATTGTCACGTTTAACCTAAAACTCTAGCTTTTGTTGTATCATTACATTAATCTAGTACATGTATGTATTTGGACTCTGTATCATGGCCATCTTGTGTGTTTCAGCCCGACCTACAAAGTGCCCTGGACAAGAGTGGGGACATGTTGGAGTGTGTGGCTATGGACTGTCCGGAAAAACTCAGGAAAGGTGCGTAACATTGTCTGATTTTGGGACAATTACAAATTGTAATACTTCAACACATGTATTAAACAGGCATTTTTTCACTCTGTAAGGCTTTGAAGCCAATCTAATCATTGATATGTTTGCCCCCTGTCCATGCAGATTTTAACACTTTGTTTACGGAGTTGAGCTCGCTTGACGACCCACTGACGGTGATCACGCTGAGTCAGCGCACACAGAATGACATGAGCATCTGGAGCATGGACGTGGAACAGGAGCGCGAGGAACTACTGGGCTGTGTGAGTGTCCGTTTTACGCTAACTTTTATTTGAGATATTCACGAGAAGTTGGATTGACATTTGTATAGTGTCTACTATATATACAAATGTATATGTAAAGCACTAATACAGAGATCTGAACTAAATAAGAAAAAACCCCAAATATTCCCAAGTCATTCTTGAAAAAAAATTAGGGGTGAAGACAATTTTGCACTCCTTTTATACATTTGTTGCCTTCTGCAAGAAAAAGAGAAAACATTCACTGTATGACAAATCTTTTCCTCAGGATAAGTTAAGAGATTGACTTGTACAGAAAAGAAACAAGCTATCCAGGACAGGGCATTCAATGTTGATAGTATCCCCTATTTTTGTCCACACCTCAGGGGTGGAGCCATTTTTGTGAGCACTGAAACATGATACCTCTGCTCCACAGTTTGTGACAGCAGCTCAGCAGATCTGTGAGGACCTGAAGAAGGAAGGATACTGGGCAGACTTCATCGACCCTTCATCAGGGAGAGCAGTAAGTAGCAGAACTTGAACTTAAGCTTTAGCACACTGAAGTAAACATTTGGCTACCTGTTCTCTATTCTTTACAGGGTTAGGGGCTTAATAATAATTACTAAAATTGTGCTGGTTAAAGGGATTGTAAAAACTGTTGTAAAAAGATAAAACTGTTTGTAAAAAGATTCAACATAAACCTTCTTGTTTCTCTCCAGTTTTTCGGACCATACACCAACAACACGATGTTTGAGACGGACGAGCGTTACCGGCACCTAGGGTTTAAGATCGAGGACCTTGGCTGTTGCAAAGTTATAAGCCATAAACTCTGGGGAACTCATGTGTACGTCGGAAGCCTTTATACCACCGCACCTAGTGATGGTCCTGCCATGCAAACGCTGCTGAAGAAAATAGCAGGATAGCAAAGAGAGGAAAAACATTACCTGCACAACTTGCCTAACAATTGATGAGAGTACTGTAAAATCTGGAAATGTGGCTTTATTTTCGCGATGCCTCTCGACCACAAAATGATGTGTTTCCATGCTACAGTTTTGTTTTGAAGACACAACAAAAATCTTTTCTTCAACTCACACCACAAGGTGAAATCCCGGTGAAAATAACTGAATTTACAGTATTAAGATGGGTGCAAGGATTTTTGTTGTACAATCTTAGACTATGGAGAAACAGCTCTTTGAATCAGTCATGATCTTAGTTACAGTGTGGGACAAATTAAAGAACTGTAGTTCAGTTTTCTGTCAGCAGATATATATACTTTTGTTTTACTGATTTGTTTAAAAGTATCCTTTATGATCTATAAGGTATGGTCAAAGGTGACAATATTAAAGCCCATGTTTTCAGGTCCATGATCCCTTCACAATACACACCTTGTCGCTTTTGGCATTCTATTTACATGTAGATACTGTATGTAGGTGCCAACCAGTCTTTAACCATATTGCCAAACCTGGTAACCAGTACAGATTTGGTGCCCAAAATGGCTTACCTACGAGTTACAGTGCAATGTGGATGGTTAAGTTGGTAAAGTCATGGTAGAAACTGTCTCATATGTCCACCAGAGCTTAGTGATTCAAGGAATGTCTATGGAACACATATGAGAATATGGTGGACTCTACCTCTTATTTTGTGGCAAGGTTTCTCCTGAATAAATGAAGGAAAATAGAGCATCACTTGCCTGCAGATCTTTATTTCTTTGTTACATACAAAGTGTAAAAGTTCATTGTGTTCCTGGCCAGAGATTTTGGTAAGAAGTCTTGAAGACATTGAGGTACTGTTGAGTGTTCATCCTCACCCTTCTGCAGAAGTCTCGAGACAATACGAACTCCTGGTTCCAGGGAGAAGCTGCCACCACCATGTAAGTCTTCTGATCAGACTGGCAGTACTCCAGTACTGAACGGAGGACTCTTGTATAGTGGTCAACCTTGTGGGGAAGCACAAAAGACCTTTATTTTTCTGAACATGTATTGTACCTGGAACTTAAACCTTAGAATTTCAGCTCGTATTTGTAAAAGATAATATACAATCCTGATTCGTGCAGTTTACGTCATAGACATAGTCTTTTAAGACTGACAGAGAAAGAAAGAGATTTAATCTGTATTGCGTAATTGCCATTGTACAATGAATGGCCTAGCCTCTACCAGGCACCGCGGATCGCTGGAAAAATAGTAGAAATTGGCCGAAATAAAGGGATAGTATACCAGAGAAGATCCAGGGCCATAGAAGCTCCAATTTGCGACCCACGGATCTTCTCTGGCCCTGGATCTTCTCTGGTATACTATCCCTTTATTTCGGCCAATTTCTACTATTTTTCCAGCGATCCGCGGTGCCTGGTAGAGGCTATAAATGGCCATACAGTTTAACACACTTTATATCCTGAAAGGGCACCTATTATGGCATATTGAGGATGTTCCTAACCTCCATATGAAAGTCCTCCCCTTGCTTGGAGATTTTGTGTTGTAATGTTTTATTGAAATGCTCGTACAACATGTGATCTGCCAAGCTCCATTCCCTGTGTGAGAAGAAAAGAAGACAGAATAATGTTGCATTGAAGGTGATAAAGGTGATCCTGCATTTACAAGAAAAGTCTTAACAACTTCTTGCCTGTTGAGGAAGGATAGACATCCAGGTAATAACGTGCCAAAAAAGCAGTAGAGCAACTGGATATGATTTTCTAATCATCAGTGTTACTGACGAAAGGTGCTACCTGAAACATCTGTGTGTTTCCAAAATCTTATCCAGTTGCTTGAGTTTTTGGCGTAACTTCTTGCCTGTGTTTATGTTGGCTGTCCGAGTTGTTGTCCAGTCTGAGAGGGTAGTCTGTGTACTGGTGTGGCCAGTACAGGATGTCCTGTAGTCTCCAGCACATCAGCCGCTTCAGTAACACCAGGGACTCCTGCAGGTGTTCTGTAATCATCACCAACAGGAAATCTTCCTCCAGGGTCTGAGAAAACACCAACGCAACAGGATATTAAATCAATAAATAAACAACAGGACGGACATTGTTGTGATTAAATCTCCAGGGAGATGCAGGGAGGCAAAATCTTATTGAATCTAGCAAGGACGTTATATAGACACAATGTCCTTGAATCTAGAAAGAAGAAATTACAAAATTCTAAATATTTCACGGAAGTGGGAAATTTCTTGTCAATTAATTTTCTTTATTCGGATATCACGTCATAGTTTCAGTTTTGACTTAAGTTTCGGTGTCAGTTTTGGTCTGCTATGCCAGCAGTTTTTATGGTCTTGGTTAGACCTACATTATAAGAAAATTGGCCCTTCAAATCACAATCACTGTACAGCTACAGACCTTGATATGCTGCTTGATTGCCGTCACATTGTACCATGACCGTTCGGACAGGCCGAGGTCCTGTGCCATGGGGTTACGTGTGACCGACACCCCGTCTGGAACCTCGGGCCGCTGGCTGCCGGCCGCTGGTGACGTGAACACATCATCGTACAACTGTGCACGCTGGAGGAACTCTGCTATTGGGTCATCTCCTGGATGTTTGAATAAACAAATTGTAGGCATCTGTACTGCTATTAGATACTAGTATGGTGTGGTAAAAGATTCTTGGTATTGTGTACAACAGCAAACTTTTTGAAAAGTACTAGTACAGTAGTTTAATTACCACATACTTTTGATGTCCACTAGATAGCCTGTCAGTGCCTTATGTAGTTCTATGGAGTGCAACATCTTCGAAGTTACAGAATAGTTTTAAGATCATATAGACAGGATAACAGTCGGTTATGTTATTGGCAGTTTCATGGTGAGAAACGAACACTTTGCAATGGTAATATAGGTTTGTAGTTTACCTTGTATTCCGACCACAGTACCGACCCTGTAGTGGTGAAACGCGGACTTGAACTGAGCCCAGGGTTCTCTCAGGACTGTGACATAAGAGGCACCATGTGGGAAGACGCCATGTAACGCTCGTTTGTCGTAAACGGTCCTCTCTACCAGCAGGTTGAAGTGATGAGTGTGCCGAGGCCGGTAGTGCTTCAACTGTACCGGGCCTGGCCATCCTAGACATCTAGAAAAGGAACAATTTTTGTTATGTTGTATACATACGTGATGCATGCAGTTTGCATTACACTAACCATGGTGGTCAAAGTTTGTTTAAACTACTAGTATACTATTAAGTCTTATGTGTGTATGCGTGTGTGTGTGTACTTATGTATGTGTTGTGTACATGTGCATGTGTGTGTCACGGTGTATGTGTGTATGCGTGCGTGTGTGTGTGTGTCACACTGTGCATGTGTATGTGTGTGTGTTTATGGATCTGTGTTGTGCACATGCATGTGTGTGTATGTGTGTGTCACAGTGTGTGTGTGTCACAGTGTGTTTGGCATCCACTCCGTAACAAAGTCTACAATAACTAAAAAAGTCTGCAAAATTAAATCTAAACACTTACAGATCATCCTCCCCTCCTCGTGGAAGAACGAACTCCAACTTCCTCTCATGTCCGAACCGATGGAACATGGACGCCAGTGCGGCACTTCCCGTCCTGGACAGCAGACAACACACATCAGAAACTTAAGCAAGTTCCGGAACAACAGACTTAAAGGAAAAATATTGCCTCCTCTTTTCAAACATAGATTAAAATATCTACAAATTAAAAAAACAACATTTGGATTGTTGTATAAGACAGCTTCTTCAAAAATGATGCAGAGAAAAATATATGAATATGTTGATTGAGATGAAATTATTTGATCATCGCTCTGCGCACCTGTCTGTTCTGATGAAAACCAAGTTGATCTTCTCCGTACATCCTGGGTCTTTATACCTGAGACATGCGCAGTAACCTGGACAGTCTGGGACAGTCCTCAGTGCACCTCTTCACAGTACACACCACCCCGAGAAAAATGGACAAATAGTTAGAATTTGTGGGCTTCAAAACCGTGAATGACTATACTGTGGCTCTCAAAAATAGAATACACTTTAAATTAATGAGTTGAATAAAAAGGATAGGGTAAATTAGAACAAGGACATTATAATGTCCTTGATTTATAGAAATAGAAATGAAAACACTAAAATATAGACAAAAAGTATGTTACACGTATTTCAATTTATTGAACAGCAATAAGTTTGAATGTCACTTTCAAGTTCCCTCTACAGGCCTTGTACTCGTAAAATGACCAGTAACTGAGTAACTGTTACTGATTCAGATAAATTGCAGTAACTGTATGGTACCTTGTAGGCTGGAGGTCATTTTTCCACTCTCTGGTCTTCCTATTGCTTTTCAGGGAGATCACCACTAGAGTCGACAGCAAAATCAGCACAGCGAGGACCCCTACCGGACGATATTTGACCTGCACCGCCGCCATGTTCAAACCACCTGTTAAGCTGCAGTCTTCAACATTAGCAGAAGGGTTTCCCGGGTTCCATGGCGTAGAAACGCAGCCCAGTGTCTTGTATGATAGAAGTTTGTTTTCAAACGGTAGACAAGTACATGTACAAGCACAACGTCACAACATAGTGTGTTGTGTGCAGTGGCATGAAACATAAGTTCAATTCCTCCAATTTGGAACCAACAGGCACACACTGTCGTCAGTCGTCATCTAATAGTCCAATGTGAACGATCGAGGCAACAAAATGATCGAGGAGTAGTCCATTACTTGTAAGGGGAGGGTTTATAACGTTAGTAGAGAACGCAAAAAAGGTCCCCAGTTCCAACTGGACATCTTTAGAAATTCCAAAACTACAGTTCGTTGTTCTGGTGACTGATACAGTGACTGTGTTCAGAATCTGTAAAAAAAAATATCACGTTTCACTCGTACCTTTCACATTTTCACACAGCAACAAGCTCCACGGTTTGAACCCGGATCTTACTTATTGATCCTCTGGCTGTTTATGAAATCCATAGAAATGTATAGCCTAGTATCAGGCTTTCAGGCACGGGACATTGTAGTGAGCTTATAGCTTGGAGGGTTATCCGTAATGAGTGCATTTTAGAGGCATGTGTTGAGACTACTGTCTATAGTGCCGCACATATGTTACCAGGGCAGTATACCATGGTACCAGCTGGAATTGTACGTACTGGTCCAGCCGGTTTTGTGTTTCCAAAATAGAGGGAGTGTCATACGAAGCAGAAACACTGCCAAAAAGATCATTAGTTTTTATTACCTTAGAGTATTTTGAATGAAAAGTGGACCTACTGTTAGTTCAATAGAATGAACGCCGTTGTATTTGTGAAAAATCCTTCTTATTTAACAAAATAGACTGGAAATTTGAATGCCTTTGTGACAATTTGAAGGAAATCTACACTCGAAAATTTCTAAGGTAAATTCAAAAGGGAGCATAAGATATATAACCTAATATTCTATTTCATGTTTTGCAAAATGTCTAAAATACTGTATCATACTTGTTGGTTTTGCATGGACGTAGGTTCGAGTTCAGGGGCAAACAAGCCTCAAAGCGTAAAACCCCTTTGCGAGCCTTTCACCTTTTCCCCATTCGCGAAAATTATGGAAATTAGACCCTCCCTCAGACTACATAGTACAGTACGTCATTTGCCAGGCAAGCTGAAGCGAGCGGACGCGTCGACAGACTTTCCTGCCTTAATACAGCAAGGAGACCCTTGGTTTGGTTTGGTTCATCAAGCCGTTATCGCTGATATTCGCAAGGTAATGTCTTGTTTTTCTAAAGTCTCTCTAAGATTGGTGTTACGTCCTCAAGTTAAACCTAGTCCATGTTTAACCTCCTTGGTTCAAGCAATCGAAATCATTTCCAATTTGTTGGGTGATGCAGGGCCTAGAGAAAAGATAGACTTACTAACAGCAGAAGTATGTAGTCTGCCATATGTGTTCCACCAAGAAGGTCCAACCTTCAAAAAACAAGTTTTTTTGTAGCCTCCATGCACCAGGCTTTCCTACGGTAGTTACTAGTAATCTCCACTTGGGTGGGGAAATGGATACAGACTGGCCAATTTGATACTGTCTTACCCCCACCAAAAGATCTGCTTGGAGATTAACGGTAGTATGGTAATAAGGAAATAATCACGAAGGGTTTAATTTACCCCTCCGCAACCCGCGGGCAAGTAAACTTTTCGTTGCTAGCTGGCCGGTTATTCTCACTATTGCTCACATCGATTTTCCTGTCTTTCAACCCGAGCCGTTCGTCTGGAAGAGACTAGTGATTTTAGGCGCTTTGTTGAGTCTGATTTTGTCGTGAAAGAATGAAGAAACCTAACAGATGGTGTGATTATCATCAAGGAGTCATGAAAGCTCCTTGTTATCATACACTGTTAGTTTGTTACCTCCAGGCCAGAGGCAGGCAATGTGCACAATTAAAAGATTTGCTTGAGTAGCTAGAATGAAAGGGTCACTTTTAGCATAATGGATGCATGTTGTCTGACATGTCTCTGGATAGAAGTCAAGCTATTCCAAAACTCTGTGTAAGAAACAGGGGCGAGCAGTAGAAACATAAAAACCCTCCTGGTCCCGGGCCGGGGTTCGAACCCACGACCCCCGCTTACAATTCGACGCTCCTGAATCAGCTAAAAGGTCTAGACCCATCGGCCTATAACCCCCCCCCCACTGGTACATCTGTACTGTGACAAGTGCCGACTCATGCCATGTACAAACGTACAACCAGCTTTGCGTTCCTGTGGGACTGTGGTTTTCTTTTTATTCTATTCGGCTAGACTTTTTTTTAACTATTCGCCCGCCTGCATTATAATTTATACAACATTAGTTTTGGGGTCTTCAGAGGATGTCTTCCATAAATGATAGTCAGTATCGTCTAATATGTTTTAGGTATTGAAGTGAAATAATTGGAGACACTATACGACTTTTTTAATGGGGGGGGGGGGCGATGAATTATATCTAAGGTGTCTACGTTTGTCTGTTTGCAACTAAAAGTGACATGATCATGTGATTAGTTATTGAGGTTCCAAAACGTGGTGTTTTTTGTTTCATATTTATCAGTATTTTTGGGCAACGTAGCAAGGTAATTCGACACCCCCGTGCTGTATGTGGAGTGGTATCGTCTATCAACATAGCCTGGTTACCAAACCTATTATAGCTCCCGAGTCCTACATCCTCTCCGCTAATCATGTATTGTGATATCAGCCGGTTTGTCAGCCATGTAGCACTATTATGTGTTATGTATTATATGCTTCCTGAAGGTCTGGAATCTCAGTTTTTTTGTTTTGATTACCTTCGCCAAGAAGTTTATGTTTTCGTAGGCGTTCGTTTAACAGATATAATTGATGCAATATAGGATCCTATTTGCGCAATCAGGGGGATTAAGCTATAATTTCTTAGTCATAAAGGCTAACATCATTTGGCGAAGGTATGATCGTGGAACTCTAGTTCTTGTATAAAACGTAACTCGCATTGATGATTGGTTCTTCTGGCTCGCAAAAAGAGGTTTCAAAATTAAGGTTTCACTAAGCTATGGACAATTTCGTAATTTCTTCAGGACAAACACTTCATCACCATGGCAACAAGGGCGCTGACGTCAGCTTCACCGCGTACTCACGTCGGTGAGAAGCCGTACAGGTGTGAGGAGTGCGGCAAGCAATTCAGTCAGCTGGGACATCTGAAGGAACACATACGGACTCACACTGGTGAGAAGCCGTACAGGTGTGAGGAGTACAGCAAGCAGTTTAGTCATGTGGGTTCTCTGAAGAGACACATGCGGACTCACACTAGGGAGAAACCCTACAGATGTGAGGAGTGCAGCAAACAGTTTAGTGAGTTGGCTTCTCTGAAGAGACACATGCGGACTCACACTAGGGAGAAACCCTACAGGTGTGAGGAGTGCAGTAGGCAGTTCAGTCAGTTCGATCATCTAAAGACTCACATGCGGACTCACACTGGTGAGAAACCCTACAGATGTGAGGAGTGCAGTAAACAGTTCAGTCAGCTCGGTCATCTGAAGACTCACATGCGTACTCACACTGGTGAGAAATCCTACAGATGTGAGGAGTGCAGTAAACAGTTTAGAGAGTCGGGACATCTGAAGAGACACATGCGGACTCACACTGATGAGAGACCCTACAGGTGTGAGGAGTGCGGTAAACAGTTCAGTGAGTTGGCTTCTCTGAGGGAACACATCCGGACTCACACTGGCGAGAGGCCGTACAGATGTAAGGATTGCAGCAAACAGTTTAGTCAGCTGAGTCAACTAAAGACTCACATGCGAACTCACACTGGTGAGAAACCCTACAGATGTGAGGAGTGCAGCAAACAGTTACAGTCAGCTCGGTCATCTGAAGACTCACATGCGTACTCACACTGGTGAGAAATCCTACAGATGTGAGGAGTGCAGTAAACAGTTCAGTGAGTTGGCTTCTTTGAAGAGACACATGCGGACTCACACTGGTGAGAAACCCTACAGGTGTGAGGAGTGCAGCAAGCAGTTCAGTCAACTTGGTCATTTGAAAGAACACATGCGGACTCACACGGGTGAGAAACCCTACCGGTGTGAGGAGTGTAGCAAGCAGTTTAGTGAGTTGGGATGTTTGAAGAAACACATGCGGACTCACACAGGTGAGAAACCCTACCTGTGTGAGGAGTGCGGCAGGCAGTTCAGTCTTCCGGGTTCTCTGAAGAGACATATGCGAACTCACCCTGGTGCAGCGTTCAGTTCAGTAACCGAACGACATTAATATTTACGTGGAAAACCGGCATGAAGCCCAGTTGAAGTGACGTCGCCATTGAAAACAACGTCACTACCCGCGCGGTCCATTGTTTGATATCATTTAGAGACTTCAGTTAAAATGTTTGATTGCGGATAATCAAGTGAAGTAGTAAACCGTTTGCCAGCATGTTAAGGCGACATCGCTTGCTTTTCAAAGCCTTCTGATTGTCATTCTAACCATGCACACCTCGACTTATCTTTGTAAATAAATAACCAACTTTTATCATTAGTTGTTGTAAAACTGCCATAGTTCAAATGCGTTGAACTTTTCATAAGTTGTACATATCTTTCTGCAGTTTCGTATTACGTATTTGTTTAGATGTATTACGTTTGAAGTCCCCCTCTGGATCCGCGGTGGGCATCCGGACTAGGGTTCCTCCTGTGTGATCCTCCCATTTAGCGACTATCCAATTTCCACCCCCTCATTTGAGGTTACAGAGTAGGGACCGTACACCTACCCCAGGACAGGGAAATTGGTACATTCGGGCCCCCACACCACGTCAAGGTAGGAGGATCAGTGAGGGAGTGGCCAATGTAAGTTATCAAGAAGGCCAATGTAAGCTGTGTTGTTTAGGATCTAAACATATATTATTATCATACCAGGGTAGGTAAGTAGATAACCTAACTGCTGTGTGTGTCTCTCTCTCTTACACGCACGCACACACACACACACACACACAGACACAGGCACGCACGCGCACACACACAAACATGTGCATGCACACACACAATGAATCACGTAATACCAGCCTTGTTCAATCAATCTTCCTGCAGTCATGCCAACTTTATTGACACAAACCATGTCTGAACAAAACATCCTTAATACACTAAGTAGACTCAAGTTTTACCATTAGTTTGTGACACAGTAATCCAACATGTGGTGAGATGGTGGTGGAAGCAACACACTGCATTTGTTCAAATTTGACGAATTTTGCACAACTTGCCATCATAAGACTATGCTATTTCATTTATCTAGCAAGTTATCGTTTGTCTGAAATGGCTACATCTGGTGAAGTACAAACAGACTTGGTATTTCTAAGTTTCCTATTTCTTTTCTTTTTTTATCTTCTGTGTAATGTGGATGGCATATTGAGTATGGTGATGGATTTCATCGCACAAAGTTAATATTTTCTTTACTGGCACATTGTGGTGTTCAAGGCTTGACTATACAAGCTACAAAGCTACATTACTGCAAAATCTATTTCTAAATGAATATTCTACATGATTATTCCATCAATAACTTACTACTACCAACTACATGGCCAGGAATTTCACAACTTGATTATTGTCTTGCAGCAATTTTCATGACGGCAGATAGATTATTAAATATGATACACAAAAAATCAAAATACAAAAATGGTATGCACAGTTCATTATGAATTAATTGCCAATAAAAAAAGCCTACACTAAGAACAAACACATGATTATGGTCACTTGAATTTTCTTTGGCAATTGTTAATTACACACAAGATCAGATCTATTTGTAACAATGTTTGCTATTGTTGACTCTTGGTTAGGTTAAAAGTGACGTACATGAATTATGAACATAATAAAAAAATCACAACATAAGTACTAGTTACTGTACAGTTTTTGACTATCTACATCCTTACAACCAGTACCACACACCAATGGGTCAAATATTCTGACCAGCAGAGTAAGAAAATTCATCAAAAGAAATCTTAAAATCAGTAAAGCATGTTACAATACAAAGTTACAATGTACTACACATTCTAATGTCACTACAGGAAATCAGCTTTATGACACATTTTTAAATCTCATGGCATCTTGATGTAATTAAAGTGAGGGGAAGTTATATCAATGACACTTAATCTACATGAATGAGACAGAGATTTAACACTTAAACACATCTACATGTGTATATAGCATGCGGGTATGCAACAGTCTGGTTTGATGGCCATTAAAGCATTATGGCATCACTTGTATTACTCTTCCAGCAAGTTTACAGTGAAGCAGACGGTTTAACCCCCTTACAGTTATCTGCTCATCTACTAATTAATTTAAATTGTTTACAGCATACATTGTAAGTCAGAAGGTTAAGTACAGACAGTTGTTTTCTGATCTACCATAATAATGATCATAGTCATTTCTTTCTCATGGCATCTTGATGTAATTAAAGTGACACTGTGATTGACAAGTATGATAAGTAGCATAAACTGTGTTGATGATAACTAGGGGTTGAAGCCTTATGTACGATTAAACTGTCATCCTTTGCAACAAGCTCTTGCATGTACCAAAGCATGTTTGGTGACAGCATACATTTTGTAATCCTTCAGAAGGAAAAAGGATTAAGGCTCACCTCAGTCAAAACATTAAAAAAGTGCAAAACAAAATGAAAATTAAAAATTTTGAGGTGGCTCAGTCCGATAATTGTTGCTTAAATTTTGATGGACAGTCTATTGTTCCCAGTCTATTGTTCCCAGTCTATTGTTCCCAGTCTGTTGTTTCCAGTCTATTGTTCCCAGTCTGTTGTTCCCAGTCTATGGTTCCCAGTGTACAGTGATGATGACTAGGCTAAGGTTACGACTGTGTTACTGTAGGAGACAGGAGGATGTCGTCACTGTCCACACTTTTCCTGTAGCTGTGGTAGGACGTGCGCCAGCTGTACCGCTTCTTCACCAGGGAGTTGATGTAAGCCTTCATCAGCTTGGCTATCTCAACAACCTGGGAGGGGAGGGAGAGGTAGAGTGACAAGGAGTTAGGAAATGTAGCGCATGATCTGATCATAAAACATGGGCACAACTATGACTGATTCAGTACTATATAAGTACATGTAGAAGCATAGTACAATATTTCAGCACAAAGGTACATATATAGATCAAATTCTCAACAAATATTGATGAATGTGACAGTGGTCGTCGAAAATTTGATCCCTGTGTACCCTTTGTGTTGGAATAAAGTTAAGGATTGACTTGTACTATGATTAGTACAAACACAGATGAACTTCCATGATAATTTAAGTAAAGCCTTTCCAGCAAGACATGAAATGGAAAGGCATTTATGATTTAGAGCTATAACTTACTGGAAACAAAAATCTGCTGTTCATAATGCAAAAATGGGATTGATGAGTGTTTTCCTACCTGGCTGGTCTCAAACATCATGGGTTCCTTGTCTTCCACCACAATCTTGTAGGTGTTTGGTACAGGTGCTCCAAAAGACAGGATGCTAGAATGGCAATAGAGACATGAACAATCAGTGGAAAATCTAGCAAAATTTGGTGATAATTAGAAACTTTGGTGATAATCAGAAACAGCAAAAGATACTATTAGGATACAGAATCCAAAGCCTAACAGAAAACTGCTACTCACCTGTCATAGGCATATGATGCCAGCGGTCTCTCCTCTCCTCTCTTGTACAAAGCGATCTCATCTACACTGACAGCCAGCCACAGGTCCACTGGGTGTTGTCTGTCCTTACACTGTGGAGGGATCGCAAGAGTTAGTGTTGTGTAGGCATAGAAAGAACTGTCACCCCCGTGTTCAAAGTAGAAACAAAAAAGGAAAGGGACACAAAAGTATTGGTGACTAAAAAGAGAAAGAAATTGGCTTTCAGAAATGGATTAAAACACCATCAAAGGTGTCTCTTTCTCTGTATCCTATCTCACAATCTAAAAGCCATTCAATGTATTTTGAATGCAGCTGTGGTTATGATTATCACATATATCAGACAGACATGATTCCAAAACAATAAAGGTTACAATCCACCATAAAGCCCCAACTGCTAAACTGGAATGCAGAGTGATGGTTTCATGCTGGCAAACTTAAAACATAACATCCAGAATGGGTCACCAGAAAACCTGAAACACCCTGAACTTAGGAACATGAACGGGGATGCAGGATGGGGGATGGGGGGTGGTGTTGTGGGGTAAAACATGGTGCCATGCTGTAACAGTGGACAACAGTGGGGTTAGGGAACATGGGACACAGGTTCCATCACCATTTCATCCAAAACATAAAACTCACAGCAGAGAGAACGTCCCGTGGGATTTGCCCTGGAATACACTGTGAAGAAATGTACAACACTATAATGTACACTACTAAAGCCTAACACAACAAGTCAATATAGTAGTATTGTTTACATCAAATAAAAGACTCAGGTGACAAGTCAATGTATGGCATCTACATTGCTATACATACACTAGTTTCTATGTTATAGAACTTAAGAAGAAGCGAGTAAAGAGTGCTCACCTCCACATCGAACAGTGTGGCCCCGTAGCCTGACCAGTCCATGACTGCTCGCATGTACCTCTGCTGGGCTTCCTCCTTTGTTAAACCCTGCAGATGGGAAAATCTCAAGTTTCTCAAATGTTCACAATGTCCAGACTATCGTCGCCTAAGAGTAGTATCAACTACACATACATGTATGACTAAGTGACATTCCAAATTGGATGCAGTTGACAATGCCTTGGGAGCAAGCTTGTTATGGAGACGCTCGAAACATTCCAATCAATATTTTCTGAAGATGTAGGATAGAGCAAAATGTCCTATTGAAGTTGTTCAGATAACAAACTTTCTCTGTAATTCTCTCTGTATCCTACCTTCAGCATCTTCCACTTGGCGATGATAGCTGAGGTGGTGCTGGACTCCTCCTCCTTCAGTAGGTGGACCAGCTGGGCATCCTCACCAAGGACTGAGGCACAGAAAACAACATGAAGATTTGTCAAAGTTGACAAATCAGACCACTACAAAACAGTGATGTGGTAAGCTGGCATGCTTACCACTGTCACTGATTTAGCTATAGTCAAAATAGAATCAGTTGTGGATGAAAACAAGTCAGCAAACATCACTCAACCGTGACAGGGCTGACATCATTTACCAGACACTTTTGACCCAGTGTTGACGTCACACTTCAGAAAAGCCACATGACAAGTCTCACTGGGTCAGTCTACTGAGGAAGACTAGAGTGACTGGTTGAAAGCTCTTGATGAGAACAATTCTTTGTGTTGGAACAAGATTTTAACTTTAAAATCTTAGAGTAAACTGAAACATACCTTGTTGTCTTGCTTTCTTGTGTCCTCCCTTTCCAAAACTTCTTCTTAAGGTTCCCTGTGACATAAGAAACACAATACTTAAGATAATGCAACAACACTGATACCCAAACCATCATAATCATGATTGAGCTAAAGACATTTTAGATCTCTTATTTGCTGCTACAGAATAAGTTCATAATTTGTTCTTACCTCTAGGAAGTTGGACTTCCTCTTGGTTGTGGCCGGTCTCTCTGTCTTGTCGCTGACCGGAGCGATGTTCTCCTTGGTGGACTTGACCCTCCTGCGTAACCTCTCCATGGGGTACACTTGGCCAAGGTCATCTCTGTACACCAAGGGCAAAGAGGGTTTCCCTTACAATTGCACATCACAATTCTAGTAATGTTCAAAAATCTTACAACATTCATTATGCCACAAGATTGTATAGCTATCACTATATGTTTGCCTTGTATGAATACAAAGCAAAAGAATGGATTCTACATGTACTTCGTTACATATATATGTGTTAAACTTTTGTTAATGCAGTTATACATCTCTTTACTGAGCATGGATGGAATTCAGCATTCAAAAAACTTGATAGTACAAATATATTGATTCCTAAACCTCCAATTCTTTTCATTTTAAAGGAATACATGTGTTTGATAGAAAAGTATACCACTGTACAACAACTTACATCCATCCACTCTTGCTGAAGTCTCCTTCCTTGTACTGTAACCTGTAGGCAGCCAGGTATTGTAGAGTTTCCTCGGAGCTCGGGAATCTGTTGTGGATTACGTCTTCGTGGGCCTACATGGAACAGACATAAACGTGAGGAAAACTGCAGTACACATGTACAGTCCTGCACATTACACTCAATAGAAATAGTCTACAATCTTGTTGGTCTTAGCAGGAAAATTACAAACTTTATCCTAATACAAGATGTAGATGTCACTGATTATAATCTTATCTACTTGACATAGTAATAAAACTGGTCACTAGACTAAGTGTTCAAAGAGAGAATATCAGAAAGTGTGTGACTTTTATGTGGGGTGTCAAGAAACAGATCATACAATAAGTCTGTTTCCTAGACTAAGCTTTGGATTCAGTGCTCTGTTTAATGTTGTAGCTAGCATTTGTGGTAGCCGCCTGCATATTGTTACCCAGCATATTGCATAAGTGTTGTAAAAAATGTACGCAATTCAGGGTATATGTATGATTGTATGTATCCCTGCTGATTGTATGTTTTGAGGAAGAAAATAAAAAAAAATTTGAAAAATTTGAATCATACCTGCTCGAACATGAAGTCATACTCTAAACTGTTGGTGGGCACGTTGCGGGGGTCCATGAAACAGAAGAGTCTGAAGAACAACTTCCATTCTGTTTCTTCCTCTTCTTTCAACCTACAAAGAGGAGATGATCAAAATTAACAAAAATTGAGACAATTTTCCATTTTTTACAGTTTTGGACTTGCCAATGTATTCAACAAGGTTTTACTGTCTGTGGTGGATATTTTCATTCTTAAATATGTCAGATACAAGCTTCATATATCTCTTGACTCTTAGTGCACACGTGAAGCTTAATGAGTGTTAAAAGGTTAATTAATACATGTGTATCCAAATAAAATCTGCAGATGGATTCAAAGTATAAAGACTTAGGCTAGTGAGGCTGCAGTACAAATTTTAAACACTAGATGGCATGCTGTGATGGTCAGCAGCAAACTTTTTTGCTCTGTCCTTGGTGCTGAAAGCGTGGCCAGCAACAACAATTTTGTTTTCTGCAATATAAGTATGTCTAGGACACAGTAACTCAGTCCTGAATATATGATTTGACATTAAAGAAAACTGTTTGGGTACAATAGACTTAGAGTACGATATAATTGATGTGTGACTCACTTTTCAAACTTGGCCAGTATGTCGGCCACGATAGCCTTTCCATCAATGGCCTTGTCCTGACCTGCGCCCCTCTCAAACAGCGCAAACGTGTTGTGGGTCTCCTCAAGGTTCATCCCTCGGACCAGCCGCTGGACAACCTACCAAACAACAAACAGCGATGGATGAGATACAAACTTTCTTTGGATGCAATTTGGGTACTCAGTTGAACACCGATGAACCGTAAGTCATAGCCTCAGCCAAAACATGCTGCAAAACTGTTACTGTTACAGTTAGCAAATTCAATCATTTCAACACATAGGTCAGTATTGTTCTTTGTAAGTGTACTGTCATTTACATTTTGTACTTCATGTACTTTCAACTTGCTTGCAATTAGCCTTTGGGCATGAATTTGTGTTAGAGAATCATATTATTAACATGTTTTGCTGCACATTCCGCTTGTATCTGAGGCTTGTTACACTATCACTATGCACCACACCATCCACGGGACCAGTAACTTCTACCACTGACAGCTACTGACAGCCACCAACCAACTTCTGTCAGCCAGGAGCTTTACTTAGCACTCAGGGACTTCTGTTGTCTTTTTCCTTGTGTTTTATACTCCAAGCAAACATTCTACATAAAATTTCTGACAGAAACAATACGATCAGAGTTTCTTCAAACAGCATAGCTGCCATAATTGCCCATTTCCCATCACCAGCATGTAGCACCACGTTTGAAGAAACTCTAATTCTTCTGTTTTAAGATGGATAATGAAATCGTGGGGTACATCACAAGTTTATTTTTCTAGATTGTAGACACCTACAGATGTTTTCTGCAAAAGCTGCAAAGATACTACAAATTGATAGTTTTGTATTGTGTCTTGACTTTGTAAGTGGTGTAAGTTGCTTAAAACTCAAACAAGAGTCATTACACAGTGGATAGTAAATTTGTTGTGGCAGAACAGAAGGGCTAGCAAAGCCTTTTTGTTTTACAGAGGTGTCCCCTGAGTGAAAGCAGAAGCTCGGCCTGTTTGTGATGATCACCTTAAGTCTCATCTCCTGGACCAGGTGCTTCACAACCTATGTGCAGGGAGCAAAGAGCAGGAGTGTGAAACTTCCGACAAGGATCTGTGCAGTTCACTGTCACCACTAGCACTGTGTGATGGGGTGTTATTGTACACAAGAAGCTTGTGTATTGAAGTAGCTAGGCAAGAGGACTGATTTTGGTCATTTGAATGACAGCTCATATGTGTTTGCAGAATCCATAAGTTCTAAAGTTTGAGCTTAGTTCCAACACAAGATCGACTGAAAATTTATGGTGTTGGAACTAAGCTCAAACTTAACAACAGTTATATGATTTCGGTCATGTTTGCCATGGTTGTTTTGTAACTTTTAGGAAAAGTGCTGTTTGTGTAAATGTACTATCATTAAGGCTTGAGTCATAATATTTCTTGTGTGCACTATACTCAATATTGAAAAGTACAAACCTCTCATGAGAAAGTGGTAAGGACATGTATGATATCATACTTGTAACTGCTCTTCATCAAGTTCCCTGAACTTTGCATGGGCATTTGGGAAACAATGAGTGAATGTACATGTTAGGGCAAAGGAGGAAAGGTAACTAACCTCAGACGCTGTGGTGGAGGAGTTGATACTGATACGACAAGAGCTCCCGTAACAATGGACGGTGGTGTACATATCACGACGACCCTGGGAAGGAAAACAAAAAGATAATCAGAATTGCAATAATCCAAAAACAACAGCCATGGTTGTTGGACGCTCCATAACATAAAAGTAGTCAACTAGTGGTCTTGATTCAAGGGAGTTTAAAACATGTCCCTCTATAACCATTTTTGTACCTCCTATTCATTTCAAATTTTTGAAGTTTAAAGCATTACGTCCTTCTAATTTTACAATACATGTACATACCTTTATAAAAATATATTGCTGTTTTAAAGTGAAATGTATCATCTGATATTTCTTTAACATGACATTTTTGTGAACCAAAGAAATGATGTATTATCTTACCAGAATTGCGATAACCTCGTCCCGTGACGGCACATATTCCCTCCCCTTGCACCTGCGCAGACTGTCCCCACAGAAGGTGGCAAACTTGGACATCTCTGTGTTCGGGAACTTGTCTTTACATCTGTAAACAGGACAAGACATAAATTTTACCATAATTATCAAGCTGCAGAATGAATTGTGTACATCATTCGTGCTTCATATACAGGATATGGTCTGAATACATAACACTTTACTCTTACACTAGTGTTAAAAGGCTAATGTATCTAATACAACAAATCTGCATAAGGATTCAAAGCGCATAAACAATTCATCTAGTGATGCTGCAGTACCAGTTTTGAACACTAGATGGCATTTTGTGATGGCCAGCAGGAAACATTGTTGCTCTGTCCTTGGTGCTGAAATCGTTATCAATAGGGAACAATTTTCCTTTCCTCATTAGTACATTTAGGATAGAGGTAATTGCCTGCAAAGCTTGTCTGCTATGGCATTTTAACAACTATACAGATACAGATAGAACACCGTAACTGAGCCCTGACCTTTTGAGGTGGAACTTGAGGTATCTAACAACGTTCCTGGTTGGTTGGAAGGCGCAGCACATACAGGCCATGATCTGCCACACCCGCAGGTTCCCGATGGAGTCCACGTCTGCCACGCCCATGGTCTGCTTGATCAGCTGACAGTACACCTCATCCTTCAGGTACTTCAGGTCGTGACACGACTCCAGGATGTTCTGGGGGGAGAAGAAAGCTTAAGTTCAGCAACTACAGTCAAACCTGTACTAGTGACCATCTCTACATAAGGATCACACTTTTTGGTAGTAAGGATCCTGTCTATACTGACAGTACATGGCAGTTTTGACCATTGTTTTTAGAACCCAAATATTTAAATGTGGACACATGCAGCTACGAGATAGCTGCACCATGGCAGGTTTCAACATAGTCCTTGACAACAAGTTTGTACTTAAAGTCACTGCAAAGTAGTAGCTATGCAATATGATGGTTTGGTCTAGTTGATTTCGCATAAAAAATGTTAAAACACTTTTTTCTGAGCTTGCATGGTACGCATATATAAACATAGCATACTGGTAGTACTACAGTACATGATATGCAGGGATAATATTTAATGTAAGAGTTGTCCTTGGGTAAAACTGACCTGTACAATGGAGATCTGGTCAGCTGCAGTCTCAATCTGTAGGAGTGAGTTGAAGATCTTGACTGCTTCTTCCTGCAGGTTGGTGTAGCCTTTTTCTCTTTGCACTAAGAACATCAAAAACAACATCACTCTTCAAGCATTGCTGGTCTTGCAATTTTAGCAAGCCCAAATATACCGTGAGTTAAAGAAAGAGTAAAAATGTCACATTTATTTCAAAAGTGGAAAGCTTGAACTATGACCCTCATGATCAAGATATCCGTGTTGTTTCAGAGTTTATATTTGAATAAAAAATAAAGAAATCTTCAATGGCTCCCTTGCTAGATAATAAAAAGTTAGTAAAACTTGTTACTTACAGTTGGCGTTGACGTCTCCATATGGCATGGGGAGGAGGGGGGTCTTGAGGGGTGGGGGTGTGCCTGAGGATGGGGTTCCGCTGGTAGATCTGGTCCACAGCTTCACTGTTCATACTCGCATCTCTGTGGAACAACGGTTTGGTGAGATCAACAGCAAATAACAGACTTTCACCTACAAAAACATTTCAACCTTCCAAACACTTCTTTTTCTGTTAATACTGAAAATCAGCAAATCCAATTGATTCTCATGTCATTAATATATCAAAATTTACAATCTTGCATACATGTAAAAGTTCAAAAGCTCAATATGTCAAATATGATACTTGAATAGCAGGAAGATGTCTTGCAACTAATGTTTCAAATTTTGACTCACAAACGACTGCTAAAAATTGCCAGATGTATGCTGCTATGGCATCTAATTCTATCATTTCTTAGGCACTATATCCTGCACCTGTGGTTGGCTGGCTGGTCAGGGTTACTATGGGAACTGTACCTGAGGTCAGTGATTGGCTGGTTGGTCAGGGTTACTATGGGAACCGTACCTGAGGTCTGTGATTGGCTAGCTGGTCAGGGTTACTATAGGAACCATACCTAAGGTCTGTGATTGGCTGGTTGGTCAGGGTTACTATGGGAACCATACCTGAGGTCTGTGATGAGCTGTTGTGTAGGTGTTACTATGGGAACCATACCTGAGGTCTGTGATGAGCTGTTGTGTAGGCGTTACTATGGGAACCATACCTGAGGTCTGTGATGAGCTGTTGTGTAGGTGTTACTATGGGAACCATACCTGAGGTCTGTGATGAGCTGTTGTGTCAGGGTTACTATGGGAACCATACCTGAGGTCTGTGATGAGCTGTTGTGTAGGTGTTACTATGGGAACCATACCTGAGGTCTGTGATGAGCTGTTGTGTAGGTGTTACTATGGGAACCGTACCTGAGGTCTGTGATGAGCTGTTGTGTAGGTGTTACTATGGGAACCTTGCTGTCAATCACCTCCTGTAGAGACTGTACCCACTGCTGCACCTCTGTGTGCAGTTTGGTGAAGAGGTGGAAGGAGCGACGACGGCCGTGGATCGTGAACATGTAGTAACCTGGTGCAGAAAACAAAAAATATATTGTTTTTTTATATGTCTCTGCTGATGAATTAGCTTTTTAAATAACATTTTTAGCAGTACTTGCAAATACATTTTGTTCTTACTCATGATTTTTTAAATTTCATCACAATGATCTGAAATGTATTATACAGCCACCTGGTCTTAATAAAACAAGATGACAATATTATGATAACTAATTTAAGAGCTGCTTCATACAAAAAATATGCTAAAAGAGTTAAACATCCTGCAAGATGCTTCCCACTCATGGTCTAAGAATAAGTTTTCAAGTAGCATAATTCTAGCTTTTTTTGTATGTGTCAAAAAGTGTCATTGCCTTAAACCTATTATGTTTTGTTTCATACAAATCAAGTGTAGTAATCTACATAATAATTATGTGTTATGAACAATACGCATGCATGATGCTGTGAAATACACACCTGTTTGTTCGTACATCTCAGCATCAGCCTGCACCACTCGACACAGACTGTCTAGGATGAGGGTTCCCAGTTTCTGACTGTTGGTGTCCGAGCTCTTGTAGTAGTCCAGGGAGTGGGCCGTCAGGACAAACCATCGTTTCTTCAGGGTGGTGGACTTGTTCACTGTGCCTGTGGGCTTACCAGTCTCCTTACTCAGCCAACCTGGGGTGGGGTGGGGGGTAATGGTTTAACTTTAGTTTCTTGATAAAACTTCCATATGGATAGTAGATAGTTAAAGCTGCAGTGTTCTAGCCTGTCTGAATTTTTTTTTGTCATATCCAACTTTGTTTTGCATAAAATTTTCAAGCACAGGAAATTTTGAAATCTAACCCCCGAAACACTATTTCCTGCATTCTGAGGGGCAAATTTTTCTGGAAGACTTAGCTCAGTATAATGATGTCTCTTTCCATATTTTTACACCCTGATTTTTGTCTGTCAATGATAACGGATTGGGCAAAATTTTTTTCAATCCTGGAGTGGAACAATTCTTTCAGAATGACAGAAAGATGGACACTAGCTAGAACACTGCCTCCATGTATGTAATTACTAATACAGGGCAATACAAGTTGTTGAGTAACAGATAAACATCACAACACTGTATTGTTTGTTTTTCAAGGTTATAACATTTCAAATTCTGATGTCATGTGATGATATTATCTGACATTTGTTTCCATTACCTTGTGTGATGAAACCTTGTGCCCAAGAGTTTTATTTTCAGGGTTGTTACATTTTGAATTCTGATGTTATGTAATATTATCATTATCCATTACCTCGTGTGATGAAGTCTTGACCCCCGGAGTGCACGTCGCCCTTTGACCTCTGTAAACAGCTGATCCAGTGGTGCATCTCCTCGGCGGTGTCGCTGCAGCAGGTGAAGACGCGGTTCGCCGTGATGATCACAAACTGGTGCGGCTTCGACTCGTTATCGGACGCGTAGACAGAGTCAATCAGGGCTACATCCAGGGTACCCTGAAACAGTAATAGAACATCAGGATATTGTGCATAGAAATGTAGGTGAAAGGGGTACCCTGAAACAGTGACAGAACATGGAGAAAATGTAGATTAAAGGCTAATAAGACATAGCCATAAGTGCAAACCATTCCTAGACATTCAACAACCACATTGTGCAATTGAAAAGAAAATTGCTGTTATTGGCAACACTTTCAGCACCAAGGACAAAGCAACCCAAGACTCCTGCTGACCATTACATAATGCCTCCTAGCGTTTGAAAGTGGTACTGCAGCCTCAATACCCTAAGTCTTTGTACTGAGTACACTGTATGATGAATATGTTGGAACTTACAGCTGCGTTCTTGGGGTTGGCCTGCTCATCCTGCATCTCCCTGAGTTCCTCATCAGTGGCAGAGTAGACGCTGGTCAGAACATTGTACCACTGGCTGTAGGCAAGGATGGGAAGAGTTCACAATGTTCAGAAAATACCTTGAAGTTCATTGCTCTTCTCATCTCAACGCAGGCAATCCATATCTAACACTTGGAACCAATGCTATAGATAACATGTAACAAGGTGAGTTAAAAGTGAGTTAAAATGTCTAAGCTATACAATGTATTCCGCTCCCACCTGGCCTCCTCGGGTGTTTCTGCCACCAGGTGATAGGTTCTTGCTTCTGTCACAATAGACAGGGCGTTTTCCTTCAGTCCATTATCCAGGATCTCCTTACAGGACTTCACGTCGATGGACCCCAGCTGTTTGGCGCCTTCCTCGTCGTTCTCATGGTACGAGAGGGTCGTCCCGCGCAGGACGAACCAGCGAGTCTTCCACGACCGTCTGCTGAGGGTGCCGGTACCGCCGCCTTTCTTTGCCAACCAGCCTGACTTTAGAGATGCCTATAGTAGAAATCAAAGTGAGAATTGTGTCAGATATCATTTCTGAAATCATATCCAGTTGGCTTGAGTAACTGTCTTTTGGCATATCTTATTGCCTGGATGTCTAACCTTCATCAACGTATTGTATCAGATAGGTTCACTCTACAGAAATTATAAATAGTAATCTGTCTTAGATTATGGTGTCTTCTGATGATTAAAGCATGGCTGTTGATTGTATTTCCTTCCCATAAGTTATGTGTTACAACTTATGCAATCAAATGGAAATGAAAGTTTCAAGACAACACTGCCGTCTACTATAATCATGATTGTTTAACAAGTCTGTTTCAAATGTACAGGTCGGCAAACTCATAAACTTTGCTGAATCATCTGAACACCTGAGATGTCTCACCTGTTTACCCCTGTACCACATGAGGGTGTCATCCTTCAGCACACACCACCTGCGCTTCCAGCTATTCATCACACCACCTGGTGGACAGGTAAATAATTTGTCAGAACATGTACTGTATCTATTACATTTTTTTTCACAGGCTATTACCTATTTTTTTAGTCAGTAAGAATTTAAAATTGAAGTTACAAGTTTCCAGGACAAGGAAATGAACCACGAGTCCTGTTACATGTTGTTTCACTATGATCAAAAGGCCCAGCTACACAACTGTGCAAACTACATGATTGTAGAATGATGTAGATTTGGTAACTAGATTAGCATGAGAGACTGCTGCATATAAAGGCCTTTTCTGTAGTTCCCCTGGTAACAGTACTGGAACCAAGTACATCTAATGAAAATCAACAAAACACATAAAGCTGTGTGCACATCTACAAGTTCAAATAGTTGCAGCAGAGACTACACAGGATGGATACCAGCTACTTGTATTCTTCATGCATGATAGCACTCTCGAACAGAATATTCCCCAAACAGTGTGATAAACATGGAAATTATTTTAGAAGCACAATTTTGAATTTTGTTCTTCGCACTAATGTTCCTATGGACAGTATTATATACTGAATTATAAAAGGCCACATTTTCAAACTGGGACCCTGTTGGGCTGTTTCTGTGAACAAAAAATTAACAATTAACATCAAGAATAAAATGTTACACATAAGGTGGTCATGAGTAGGTAGTTTTTTGTATGTTTTGTGGTCTTTTATATTTTTCTTTTCATCCCTGGAATTGGGAATCCTGACTTAAGCATAACTTAGATTGAGAATAGAATAGAGAGATAAGTATTAAGTAATGTAGTACTGACCTTTCATCATGAGATAGGCGTGGAAGTACGGCGTGACCTCGGGAAGGAGACTGTGTCTCTTGGGTGAAGATGGAGACTCATCGTCCAGGTCCATGTCCAGCTCATCTCCACTCTCATCAAGCTGCGAATGTGAGCAAGTCTGTCAATCAATCCTCATTCATAGTCATACATGTACACATTAATCATAAAATCTCAACCCCAGATCTCAGCAGCAAAGATTTCATATTCTTCTAGTTGTTTGTACCAGGTATAATACTTCAAATGGTCACTTATATCACCTTTAAGTTACCATTCAGCTTTACCAACTTGTAATTTGTGTTGAAATAAAAAATAAAAATAAAAATTGGATATCAAGCAAAAAGATTTGGCAATATTTTTCCGGGTTAGACTGTTCATTGCCATTATCTTTATTGCATTATTCTGTATCTGTTAACTGTATCAGTTCATGTTTTGTTGTGACCTGTACTTAGCCCAGTGTGGCAAAAATATTTATCAAAGGTCGTCATTCATTCATAATGAATAAAAATTAGCAACAAAACATGTTGCAGAATGTTCCATGATTCCACTTACAGATGATCGTTCCTGTGTGCCGTCTGATTCGCTGAGCATGGAGTCGACAGATTCCCTCTTCTCCTCCCCCTTCTTGGTGCTGAGCGTGCGGTTCCACTTCCGCTGAGCCTCCTGCCGCCGCCGCTCCTGTTCAGCTTCAGCTTTCAACCTGACAACAGTACAACAACAATCAGGCTTGGTTGGATGAAACAACTCTAGGGCAGTTCAATCTTTTCTTAATTATGTAAATTTCTTTCATACAGTAGAATATTCTATAGCTACAAGAAGAGGAAATCTGCAGAAGCATCGGGGCACACGGTGTAATTTTTATTCTCGAGTCTTTTTCATTATCAGCATTATGATTTGAATTATTGTATAATGAAGGGTTCACTGTACGTATTTTCCATTGATTTATAAAATTTAAAAAAAAAACAACTCTAAGGTATACCAGTAGTTCATACAAAGAAGTCAACTTATGTCTAATTTATACAAAGTGAAGCATACCTGTTGTGCAATATCAGGTAAGAGTGAACAAAAGACATGTTGCTCAATTTGAAATCAGCTTTTGCATTTAGAACTGTGTTAAATTTAGCCATTTCCTCTAAAACACTTTTAAAAGCTATTCTTCTAGTGAATGAAAAACATTATTTCAGAATTTTCATTCAAATCTAACTCTAGAAAACCCCTCCCAGAGTAGTACAGGCACTATACTTACACATACATGTACATCTAAAAACACGAAACAAAACTGATTCACAAATTCCATGGCACCTCCAAAGACAACATTTGTCAGCTATTTTGAGCTGTACACTTGTATGATATACCTTCTCTCCTTGGTATCCTTGGACTGTAACAGTAGCCTGGTAGGCCTGTTTTGTCTTTATCCATGGTAAGCATTAACACAGCACACAATACAGTAATCATTAGTTTTACAAAAACAGAAAAGGACAACCTGTAATCTTATATCTCTAAGAAGCTAATAAGATGTCAATGTCTACTAGGAAAAAAGAAGATGAAATTTAATTTAGTAATTAGAGAAAAAAAGTTAGCAAATTTCTCTTACCTTGACATAGCTTCTTGCTCCATCCTCTTAGCGTCTTCTTTAGCCTGTAGCAAAGAGGAACACTGTTTGTTGTAGTGTGTTAGTCCCATGACTCGACTGCTGAAACCCTGTTTTACATGTGAAAGGGTGCGGCAGGGGGAACAGATGGACCTGTGGTGTGAGGGGAACACTGGGGGCAGCCTGGAACAACTGTAGTGTTAGCCTCCTACAGAGCCGTAACAGGCATAACACACCCAAGTGCTCATTTCTGCTATTGAACAGTGTATTGTAATTTAATGCTTTTAGAAAAAGAAGTCTCACATAACCATTCTGAACTATCCAGAAAACATTTTAACCAATGGGAAACCAGTGACATAACACTTTGGTCACAGTGTAGTTAGTTTCAAGAGGTCAGGGTTTCTTATTCCCAAACAGTAATGGAGTACAATTCTTCTTGTTCTTGGTAGTTTCAATCTTCAATCTTATGGAGAGATCAGAATGTTGGGTTCCAAAAGACAGACATTGGTTTACTCCACTATCTAACCTCTCCTTCTGACACTAAGAGAAAGCCTGTGTCTGTGTCCAGCTGAGGTCTCAAAGTGATTATAATAAGAATCCATGCTTAACTAATTTTCGTGGTTCGGCAACAGTACCACCTGTACTGTAATCCAATCACTGCCATTTTCAAATGAAGCTGAAACATCCAAGCTGTGCCCCAGGCCTGCTGTGCCCTTGGTCTTTTCTTTCCAATATCATAGACCAATTGGCTGATGATTGCAAATGAAAGTCTCCCTGTGTACACTAGCATCTGCTAGCATAGGTGTTAACTCTTTAAAATCATGTACAGGTTAGTGGTCAAAACAATACAGTTTGATACAAATAGAGGGTAGAATGTGAAAGAGGAATACAAATTTCATGATGATACAATAATCCTGTAGGGTGATGAAATCAACATGATTTCTGAAAATACTTTCTGTTTACTGTAACTAGATAGATTAGTTGCTATGCCTAGATCTTCCTACAAACAATTGCATTCAATTAATGAACAGGTGACAACATAATGGAAATGTTAAGAAAAAACACAATGTCATGTTACTACAATTGGTACCATTTTCTAAAGAGGTAGAGTGTGGGGGAAAGAAAATAGATCTTCTTGCTGTACCTTTTTCTTGGCAAATTCCTCGAATCTCTTCTCTTCCTCGAGTGCCCGCTGTTTGGCCTCCTCGGCCAGTCGTGCCTCCTCAGCCTGCTGTGCCCGCAGCATGGCTAACTCCTGCTTCGCTTTGGCCCAATCCTCCAACTGGAGCACACACAAAACATTTCTTAACTTATGCACAAGTAACTGTGCCTCCCCCTCCCCCATCCCAAAAAGTAGCATCCATTTTTCCGAAAATTTGTTTTGATACTGAACTTAGTTTTGATTTAAAGCTTGTTACAATGTTTTAAAAGGTCATCAGCTGTCCTCTTCCTTTTTTTTGGCATAAACATTATTTTTTGGGTTAGTTTCTGAGGTTTTGATGAATAAAAGATTTTTAGAATTGAATTTGTATTGAATTTGTATTGAGAAACATTTTGAAAAATTTTGCTTTAGGAAACATTTAACTTAGCTATTGTGACTGTAAAAGAATGTTTGGCATGTCTTTCAAAGCTGTCAGATTTCACTTCACCAAAAGTAATGTGAAGGGGAGTTTTAAAGACGTCAGCTTTTAATTTGCTCTTTTTTCACAAACATTTTAAAAATGACATCAGTGATATTTGCTATGACAGTACTCCCAGTAGTACACTCAGATCTCAGGACTGGAACTGCATTTAGTGTGGCTTAAAATCCTTGGCTTACAGAGTTTTGGGTAAATCCCTGGTTAGTTTGTTATCTTAGAGAGCTGTCTATTCTTTTTTAGAGCAACCGTACATTGGAAAACTTCAGCATCTAAGCTAACTAAACAAAAAAACAGACTTTGTCAACATTGCCGTTAGACCTACCAGTTGATACACAACTTAGACTGAGTGGTAGAAAAAGTCCTACATTTGACTTAAAAACAAGTACCTGGGGACGGAAAGTTGTCAACATGGTTAGAGTCTGCCGCTCTGTGATCTACCTAATTCCTGCAAAGCTTCAGGGCTTTTACAAACTCTAACATTCCTTCAGCAGAACCGTTACAGGTCTGCATAACTACATATGCATCACTGGGGCCTGTACAAGCATGGTGTTTGCTCTCAGGATGGATGGATGTCAGGGGTCAGCTAGCAAGTGTGTCACCAACAAGTGGCCCTTGTGCATGTCAGTTATATTCACCCTGCTCACCAGTGGGGAAATCTAAATGGCTGTTTTTATACCCTAAATTTCTCTTAACGTTTACAGGCACACAGAGAAATTTGCATGTTCTTCCCACTGAGTCATTCTTTTGTTATCTTCTTTGATATTAAGACTTTCATCTCATATACAATTCTTTATCTGTTAACTACACAAATTGTAATGTTTTTCTGGCTTATCAAAGGAGATATTGAGTGGAGGTAAATATAGCTACAGTGACATGGACTTTAGGTCATTGGAAAAATATGGGAAAGAATATCAAGAGCTTGTTTCAATTCAGTTGACAATACATCTTTCTGCAAACTGTAGGAAAATGTTTTTTTTTTGGATTACCGAGATTCCCATTTAAGTTGTCATCTAATCTGTAAGCAAATACATGACAAAGACTGCAGTAATCTCCCTGTCTTTAATTGAATCTGACTTCATCAGAGCTATGGATTACTGGGTCTGCAATCATCAAATTGAATCTTTGATTAGATTATAAGGTTTCCAAAGAACACAAAGAGTGCATCACAATATGCTAGTAATGTGATTCAAGAATCCATGGACCTCTGGTTGCAAGACATTTCACTGTACTTTTAGTCTTTTCACTGTACAACTTTATCAAGCTTGGACACTGTCTATTTGCTTGTGATGGAAAGTCGTTTGAATAAGATAACCTTGTTCTCAACCACCTGTTAACCCTGTCCTCGCTGCTTAACCCTGTTGCCAATGCAAGTTTGGTACAAAAGGGCCAGCTCAGCATGGAGGAAGGTTAAGAAAGTGTGTCATTCAAAAATAGCCCACTATTCTAACAGCATTCCTTGGCTACTTGGGCACAGCAAACTAAGACGATATCATGTTCCTCACTTCAAAAACAGATCAAACTGACTTCACTGTACAAACAGGGAGATGCACTCAGTCTTCTGATTGATCTTTTTAAAAACAGCTCATGAATATGCAAATGTTCACATTGCCATGGATACAGAGTTGTGGAGACTGAACCATCTTCATTACTGAGTTGGATGTTTGTCCGTGACTGTCTGCCGTTGAGCATTAAGTTAACAGTGTGAAGTTTGGACATCTATAGTCTGGGGGTAGTGGTGCATGTGATAAATGTTATGTTCGGGAAGGGCTTTTTCTGGACCAATGGCTGGGCGAAAGTAAAGGCGTCATAATTTGGTTGTTGACAACTTTCCAATAGGACTTTTGATTCATCTTTATAGAAATTCCTATATATTATGTCTTTCAAACAACATAATCTAGAGAAGAATATCACATAGATGCTATATGATGAACAGTTTTTTAACAAAGACAACACTGACACTGTCTATTACAAGAAGACAGGGAAAGCTTTAAATTCAAAGTCAATTTGTCTTTTGCTGGTCTTCTATTAGTAACTGTTATGTCTCTACATTTGACAAAACTTTGTTTTTGCATCACCATCATATTGGGAAAGTAATTGTTGCAGTTTTATGTACAGTTCAGAACACAGGGTAAACCTGAAGGCCTGTATGGACAGAAAATCAAACTTGACATATGGTTTATCCATAAATTCAGCCTGAAGACAAACCATCGCCTGAGGAGTTAATCTACAGTGTCCATTTTCTGCTCAAACTTCTTTCTTTACTGCATACAGAATCAATATACTAGCTATATATCTGTCAATTGACCTAATAACATTCTAAATTTTTATCTTAACTTAATATATCTTAAGTCTAAGTAAAAAAAGACAAAACATATTCAAGATCTCATTATTAATAATTATCATCAAAATAATTCAAGCTATTAGAGGTGAGAGAAAATGGCATTCCTGTACATGCATGCAAGCTTGCATTCCATACATTCACACTAACTTGCAAACATCCCTTAACATTAACAACAAGGGAGTACTAGATGTAGTACTAGTATCATTCTCTACGCTGGAAAACTCCCTTGTCTGAAGCAGAGAGGAGTTAGGGCCAAGAGTGGGCAGGAGAGAGAGAGTTGTGTTAGTGATAGTGGTGCGGTGAGTCCGAGGATAGAGTGAGCGAAGGAGAGGCAGTGAGAGGTATAAGGTAACTGAATACCTTGTCGTCCAAATTGTCATCAATGTCCGACCTTCCCAACTCCAGCATCATGCATTCTTCTATCAAATTATCAAGCTCATCTAGGACCTCAAATTCCTACAAAGGCGGGGGCAGGTTGGTTGGCAGGAAGGGGTTGAATGCCTGTTATTACCACAACTATCCAAAACACCCCTAATCTACAAAATGGCACGTTCCACACTGGGGTAATGAGGGAGATTCCATTTTCCATGCACAACGGAGGGACACAGAGAAAAACCATGCCACACCCCCTATACCATTATGGTACAGTCCCCATTACCAGAGATAGAAGGTTCCATTTTGTAAATTAGGGGTGTGAAGGACAGTTGACAGATCGGTGAGGGTGAATTGGGTAAGTAGTGCTGGAAAAAACTTGACACACCATTCCTCATTATAAATTGTGAAGTTAGAATTACTTTGAATTAAAAAGTAAAATTGATAGTGAGTATGAGAAAATAAAACATAACATGAAAAACAAAAGAATGACAAAAGATAATAGATGAAGGCTAGAAGTAAATTTTCAATAATCAACTAGAAATAAAAGGTCTACAATCAATGCCCTTTTAAAGGGCAGACAGTATATTTGAAGATCTCTACAATCATTAAAATTCATAATCATAGATCAGAGTCAGACACACTTAAATCGAAGATAGAACAGGGACTTCATGTTGACACAAGAAGCCTGACGGACTGATATTAAAATCATCACATCATAGATCAAATCTGTTCAGGCCACAAGATGACCCAACATGTGAAGTGCACATTAACAGCACCCCTGGACGTACTGGAGATGTCCAATGTAAAACCGTTGTTGTGTTTTGTCAGAGAGTGTTAGACAGAAAGGACTTACCAGTTTCCTGAGCTCCTGTTTCTCTTTGACTTTTTGTTCCTGTTGTCTGATTTCTTCTTGTTTTTCCATCTCCCTGTGCACAGAATGAATCATCATATTGTGAGTCATTCACATTGAGAACGAATTGTAACTTACTAGTAACAGTTACAGTTTTGGAAGCCTGGTCAGCTGCACTTTTAATCTGGGTCTTTATGTCAAAAACTAATTAGATTAGTAGTAATTGTTGTTGATCAATCAAATTACATACATTATGATATTCCAAATGAATGAAATAATTTATGTATATTACTTATGGTACCAGCAATGACACAATATGAATTTTTTGGCATACTTACTTCATTCCTAAAAATGACTCATGTTTGCACATAACTTTGTACACAGCAAAGGACTTTTTGGAGTTCTACCAGCAACTTTGTTTCAAATGATACCAACTTACTGACTTCAACGAATATATGGTTTTAAGAGTTAGCATAGATTAGTAGAAATGTCAGATAATTGTCTAGGACACTAAAACATTATCCAGCTTAATACATAAACATTTACTCCATGATTTTGGTTAGTCAGTAGTGAAAAAGCCAAAGTTTCATTTGAATAAAGCTAGAAGCAGAACATTTAGTATGGTTAGTTCTTTAAATTGAAGAGAAAAGGGAAAACTCAGCAAGAATGTGAGGCAGTGCAGAGCTAGGGAGGAATAAAAAGCAGCAGACTACCACCTGTACCTTCTAGAGCCACACATGGGACAGATGCAAGGTCTTGGTTCACCACAGGAAAAAGGAAAGAAAAGAATATGAAAAGCCTACAAGAACTCTACTTATAGTAAAGAACACAAGAAAGTGTATCAGATTCAATAATAAAGGAACAATGGAGGTGAACTTTTGGAAATGGAACATACTACACTACAAAGAAATTGTGTGGTTACTATAGAATAATGTTACTATTTACAAAGTATGGCAGACTGAATTTATAGCGGAAAAAGTGTATCTGGCAGTAAACGAAAGCAAAGAAACATCAAAAATAACTCTACCAAATCTGTAGTAATTATTTTTTCTGTCTTGTTACTGAACAAAGTATCCCTGTCCTTGGTGCTGAAAGTAAGGTATCAATTTATTTAGGTTCACATTGTAGCTAAAGGGGGGGGGGCACAAAATAAAGGACAAATGTCAACATACTTCTTTCTCTCCTCCTCTAGTCTCTTCTTCTCCTCAAACTTAGCCTTTTCTTCAAGTGTCTTCTGCTCCAAGAGTCTGAAAGACATCAATGTTGATGGGATTAGAGTCCATACATTATATCCCTGGTGAGATTGTACACTACAACAACTCAAGCTCCTCTACAAGACTTGTATAGCAAGGTATACATAGTTAGAGAAAATAAGGATCTATAAGAAGAGAATTAAAGCACCAGAGACACAGACATTGCTACCTTTGACATCTTCTATCTGATGTGCTTAAGATAAAGCCTAATTCTACTTGTCACAGACACTGGGAGGTGAAACAAGCACCATCCAACATGGACAACACTGGAGGACGATAGAATGGGAAAAAGAAAGAAAGGGAAATTTTGTGCCCAATGAAAGTTAGAGTAAGCAAAGTACAGCAAGAAGATGACAGTTTGAAGCCAAAGCATAAACTAAAGACAAAACTCCCAGTTGTTGGTACCTGTGTGATTCACAGAGTGGACAGTCACATGGCCTTGGCATGGCAATAAGGAAACAACAAGTGTCAATTCCAATTGTCATGTAAACTATCACTTAAGTCCTCAATAGCTGTATACAATATTGTATATTACAGGTAAATTCTGTCCCCAACATATAAAAGATATGTATTGTATTTTGATGTGTTTGTGTCTTGTGTTTTTGCTTCTACAAGAAATATCAGTATCTGAATAAAGGGTCACAATTCTGACAGAGGTTTGTCAGAGTTTGGTTGGTAAGTTTGAAGAGATGCATATATGTGTAGGTAGCTAAGAAAGTCTGAGAATGAGTAGAGCATAATATTTGCTCAATTAAGAAATGTTATAGTACAATGCTGAACTTTATTCCAACACCACAAGGACAAAGACATATAATTTTCAAAGACCAATGTCACTTTCATCAGAATGATTAATGACCAATCACTTCTGAATGTAAACTGATGAACGCTACGGTGGCCATTGAAAATTTGATCTCTTTGTCCTTGTTGTGTTGGAATAAAGTTCAACATTGTACTATGATTACTACCAAAACAGATGAAGTTTCATGATAATTTGAAAGAAAATGTTGTAATCTACCAGTCTCAATTTTGTACCAGAAGTAATCAAAGAATTTGACACCTCTCTCACCTTCGTTCTTCTTCTTCCTTAACCTTTTCTTCCTCCTCTCTCTGCCTCTTCTCCTCCTCCCGCAGCTGTTGCTGCCGCTCTTCCTCCAGCCGTCGTTCCTCCCGCAGCTGCTGCAGCAGGTGACGTGCTCGGCGACTGCGCTCAAACTTCTGCAGAACGATGGTGGCCTGCCGAACCTGGATGAACGCTTTCCTCCAGAAGTGAGCCTGAAATGGGGGAAAGGTAGACATAATGGTTAGGTATACTTTCAATCTCTTGCTATTCAAAAGTCATCGGTTTTGAATGCTCACTGAGCATCCTGAATGCTATTGTGATGTCCTTGGTACTGAACCAGCAGAACTAACCCTGTCCTTGATGCTGAACTACCAAAACTGTCCCTGTCCTTGGTACTGAACTATTCAAACTGTCCCTGTCCTTGGTGCTGAACTAACAAAACTGTCCCTGTCCTTGGTACTGAACTAACAAAACTATCCCTGTCCTTGGTACTGAACTACTAACAAAACTGTCCCTGTCCTTGGTACTGAACTAACAAAACTGTCACTGTCCTTGGTACTGAACTAACAAAACTATCCCTCTCCTTGGTACTGAACTAACAAAACTGTCCCTGTCCTTGGTGTCTGAACTAACAAAACTGTCCCTGTCCTTGGTGCTGAATTGATAGTATACCAATCCTGTGATACTTGACATGTCCAAACCATTCTGAGATAGTAGTTTTCAGAAAATTTCCCAGCATTTATTGCAGTTTCTTGTACACTACACAAGAACAATACTGTTGCCAACCTTGTAGTTCTTCTGGATGAGAACCACGCTCTGTTTGGCCCTGTGGAACTGTTTCCTGGCTTGGTGACCTTTGAACCCTGCCTGGATGATGGTTGCCACCCGGTGTAACTCTGCCTCTCGTCTCTTCTCTAACTCACACTCCAGTCGCTCTCTCAGGAACACCTGTGAGAAAAAGATAAAGAATATATGACATACATGGATACAAAGTGATCATAATACTTTCCCCTTATACAGGCAATACTGCTAACTCACACTCCAGTCGTTCTATCAAGAACACCTGTGAGAAAAAGGATAAAAAATTATGATATGGATGGATACAAATAATATATGATGATTCTTCCCCCTTACACAGGCAACACTGCTAACTCACACTCCGGTCATTCTCTGAAGAACACCTGTGAGAAAAAGGATAAAAAGTATGATATAGATGGTTGCAAATCGATGATTCTTCCCCCTTACACAGGCAACACTGCTATCTCCCATAGTGTGCCAAGATAGAGATGAAAAATCAGATGAACTGTGAGGCCTTTTGAACAGGTAAAAAAATGTAGTGCAAAGAATCAATATCACACAGCTGTGCAGCGTTATGTGAACACCAACATGGGACATTAGAACTCAGTCAGCCTACTATATCAAATGTATATCTCAAGATACTTTAAAATTCCTAAATGACCTATAGATAGTGATGAAAAATGTATTTGATCCAGTCTTATGCATGTATCTTTCACCTGAATCTCCAATCTTCAAGGTGCCCTTTTCTGCCTTATCTGTAGCTCCCATGCAAAGGTGGAATATGTCACTACTTTATACGCTTGGCTTCACATTTTAATTTGTATCCAATTTGACTCAAGGTGTTGGTTTTCAGCCAAAGAGAGATGAAATCTGAAACTAGCATAAAATCTGAAAATTGAACCATGCCTTAATCGAGGTGCACACATTCCAGTTAATTGTTTGAAAGGAGATTCTGTTTCGTGCCTACTATTTCAAGGAAAATTTTGATGTATGAAAAATTGGGTGACTTATTTGTCCTATCTATAAGTTTTCCATCATTCACAATCATGCATTTATCATCGGATATCGCTGAACAACAGTCACAGAAATTCATCTGTCCCACTCTTAACAGATTTGTATTTCAATAAATTGAAAATAAAATACTCATTGATGCTCAAGGTAAAAGAGAGTGCCAAAAAGCTTACATAAAAATCCTCCTTTCGTATTCCCTTCACATTCAAACTTTGTACATGTACATCTGACTTAAAGACCATGGTTCTTCCTTTCTTTTGAAAAATGATTATTATTACCTGAGTGTATACCTGTTCAAAGGAAGAGATGAAATACTAATTATATCAAACATGACTGGTAGAATGTCCACATGTGGATATCAAAGGCTGTATATCATCAACCTCCCTTATTACAACTGCTACTGGAAAGTTGGCAAGGGACCAGGTTTCAACACAGAACATGTGCAGCAAACAGAATTCTTACAAGAAAATTAATACAACACCTGGGATAATCCCAAGGCCAACTTGTGACCACACAAAGTACTCTGAATGCTAATAAAACCAGAAAAAAACATTTCCATTTGTAGGTAATAACCAACAATGCTTTGTTTGTTGTATCTGCATTGTATTCCAATCAAACTAAAAAGCTTTTCTTCCATGATTTGATTGAAACCTCCTATTTAATCCAAAGGGTCATGCCTGTCCATGTGGGAATGCCATGTTTGGTATCAAAACCCCCCACGGGAAAAAGGAACCCATACATACATATTCCACATGTCTTATCCACCCAGGGAAATGAACGATATCACATAATAATACTTGATAGTTACAATTATTATTCATACCCACGTCCCATCTCATGAGATTACAGTAAAACATGACTGAAGAAAAGCCTTCTCAGTTGAATTTGTGCACATTAGGTCAAGAGGTGACCAATACTGGTTTTCCATAATACCATAAGAGATAACCATATTTTCCAATGACATACTCATCAACTTTTCATGCTGCTTACATGTATCATGTACACAGGGATGCATTGAACTGGCAGAATATCATTTCAAAAGCTATGCATAAACATTCATGTAACAAGCTTTCAGATGCTATCAGCCTACTCATCAATTTAACAGACAAATATTATCATGTGTAAATGTCTTTAACATTACACATAATCTAACAACATTAGAATTTCTATTTAGCTAAAACTAATTAGATGTAGTACATAGGTTTCATTATTATTAAGTTAAACACATTCTTTCAAAAGATGCTTTGATTTCTATACTTTTCAATTGAAACTGAACACCAAGATAAAAATATTTTGTCCTATACACGAATTCTATACATTTAACATTTAATTTTACTAATTTTGCTGTTACAGATCAAAGTGAGCTGATGCACACAAAAATCACAGAGAAAGATTGATGCTTACCTTCTACAAGCTTAGGCCTTTCCAACTGCAACTGGCTTTGCTAAATGCTTTAAGTTCTTTCTAGATCAACAGAAGACCCACCTATTCCTCTTATTGAGTCAACTTTAACATTCTCATGTGCAGGACTATAACATTACTCTAGGCCCTGGCTGAGAGCCCTAAAAGAATGTTCCAGCCAGAACCTATGTTAAAGTCACGGTGAGTGGTTCTAGTACACATGTTTCTTTTGATGCCTTGTCAAGTATGAGGGTCTGATAGGGGGTTACTCAGATCACTCAGAATATTCCCATCTCCCTTGTCAATTTTGCACTGCTATTCTTTTATGCTTTTTAACAGATAATTGATGTTTATTCTAGTAGAATCATGACATTTGTCTGAATCTTGTCACTTTTCATTTCAAAAATGCATCAAAATGTTGCTATTAACTGACAGAGCTAAACCACTATGTGAGCCTCAGAAATATAAGACTTTTAATCCTGGAAGGCTTGAGTTAGCATCTGTGCCTAGTCAGACATTAAGCCTTGGCTATATATTTTGTCATAAAGATTGAGAGCTTCCATATGCTGTTTTCTCAAAACTGCATAAATTAGTAAAATATCATTACTGTTTGGATATGAGCATAATATAAGATAGATTATCAGCATAATATAAGATAACAGATATTAACAGATTCTGAAGTATTAAAAGCAACTGGTATGCAAGCTTCAAATATGACAATTTGTTCTGCTTGAGAATCTCTAAAATTAGAACCTGTTCAAATTGCCTCAGGTAAGTGTAGTGACACTATTTTAGGACTTGCATTGAGAGTTATCATTAGAGTACTGCATGTGCAGGTAATGAATTTTACAAGCAGTTGATGAGAATCATTCCGTACTCGCTCTACATAGTGAAGATAACAGGCACTGCGCTGATTACCCTTCATGTGAAATTGATTGTGCTGCACACATCATGCCTTATTCACAGTGCACAAGTACAAAGTAGTTGGAATGAAGGGGGGGGGGTGATTATAGAGTACAGACAGACAAGCCTGAAGGGCATGCACTCCACCTTAATGACATAGTTCTTAAGTCTCCTTAATTGTCTTGAAGACGTGCTCCTCGTGTGCGTTTGTCACTGGGCCTTGACGAAACATTAAACAAGGATGAGGTGAAAATTGCAGTAAGGCAGGACCAGAAGTCTACCAACAGTGCTATTTGTCAAATAAGGATTGTGAAATCTTGTCAAAAGGCTACAGTTTCATGCAGGTTATATGAGTATTTATGGTGAAGTAATTCTCATTAGGTAACATTTACAGCATGTAATCATGCTCCTTTACAATGGGACATACATCCTTCCTAGCTTCATCATTAATGATGAAAGCAGCTCATATCTATCTATGCCAAATTATATCCAAACATGAATAGGCCCTCCATACAGCAGTGCTATGGTTATTACACACTCTGAAATTGAAATACCCTTGAGATGAATCAAGCCTGGGTTGAAGGGCTATTCTTTAGGTCGAGATGGCTGAGATAACTGTAATACAGTATGACATTACGTGACCACAATTTTAACAGCATAATTCAGCAGCTACATGTGTAGTTTTGATCTTATCTATTACTAAATGGTTGGTTCTATTGTGTAACGTTGTTTTCCAATATTTCTTTGGCTTGCACGGGAAATGTGAGCAAACTGCACCCGGCTGTGAAATCAAATATGCTGCCACACAAGAGCCATATGCTCCGGGTAAAAAGAATTATTGGCCGTATCATATTGACTTGCCTTGATCCGACATCTGTTCATGCTATGCTTTGACTTCCAATAAAAGCCTAGGGGAGGTGCAACAAAGGTATTGGCACTTCAGAACACCTGTGGATTTATTGATATTTTACAGCTGCTGTGCTAAGTATAATCATATTGAAATGCACTGTTAAAAATGAAGCCTGTAACATTTTGACAGAACCGAACATCCTCAGGATGAAGGATAACAATTTTACAGTCAATGTTTGAGAGCATTTTTGAGAGGAGTCGTGAGTTACTGGTACCTTGAATAGATTTTTTTAATCTTGAAATTGGACTTAAATTACAAGGAATGACTTGCACAGTCTCCAAATCATGGAATGCATGGATGTACATTCATGTCACATGACAGGTATACTTTTCCTGAGCAATTCAAACAGCAACTGAAAAGAATAAAGAGACTCTTTTCACACAGCCAGGTGTTTTGTGCAGCCGACATTAAAATTGGTCACCTTTCTCAGGGCAAATCTGACTGGTTCACATTGCACAGCACAGGTCACCAAAACATTGGCTGAATAAAAACACTTTGTTGTCTAAAAAGAGTTTCATTCAGTGACATACCAGCTTATGAAACTATTCAGGGAGCAATCAAAAAGTATTTCATCATCATGTGTAATCTTTACCAAGTATAGAGCTTTTTGGTTGGATTGTGACCATAAAAACAAGCCTCACCTTAGTTTTTCCCAGCTGCCACTCCTTGCCTGTGTCGTCCACCAGTTGTAGCACCCCGCTGCAGTGTGCCTTTATGTCTTCATCGCTGGATGACTGGCGCATCAGCACACGGTACCTGTATATCACACAATCATACAATATCACACAAGTTATTATATGTACTGCATTTAAACCCTGGCCTCTGAGGGTGATACAACAAGTCAAAAAGTTGTTAAAAAAAAGAGTTATCTTCATATATTTGTGGGATGCTTGAAAAGAAAGTGGCAGTAAACTTCAGTGTAAATGTAAGTCAGGTTTTTGATAGTTGAGCATAATCAAAACAATACAAAATGTTTGAATAATGCAACTATAAAACTTAAAGGTTATTGGCAAAATGTCACATCCAATGCCAAAGGCTGTTATCCTTAGTATAAAGACCTTAACCTGCTGTGAAAAGTGTCTTACACTGAGAAAGGATCATAGGAATATATTTGACTCCTTTGACCTTACCATGTCAAGCAGTAACTTCGTTTTGACTGAAAACTTTGCAATCTACATAATTGCTGCTTATAGAAGTTCAAGATTTTAAGTGTTAAGAACAAGGAAGATTAATCATAGTCATGACAGATTCTCCACTTTGTTTCCTAGATTTCTGTAATTATTGATCGATGCCTCAGCACACTGTGATGCACTTAGAAGTTCTGAAGTGTGATTGCAGTGCATTAGGGCTAGCTCTAGTGCAGCAGTAAACCCCCAGGGGATACCACTAAAATCAGGTTCAGTCAAGTTCGATGCTTCCATTTCAGAGAAAGATGCTTCACAGGCACTTTGTCTGATGGGACTGTGGTGGTTTTTACACAACAATTAGCTTGCTGCAACACCAGAGACTTACTATATAGTGGTATCAACTCGTGTATGTGGAGTAGCCATAGTCTCTGAGGGTTAACTTTGCAAAACATACAGCCACAAGGAGCCTTGACATTAACAGAATGCCCTTCATGACTTGACTGCTGACTTAACTACATATTCTGAGCAGCAGTTGATAGTGAAAATGTGCATGGATTAGGAACCTTTAAACTGAATGCTTATCGTATGGGGTTTTATCCCATTAAAATGTACTTAATGACTGTTAGAAGGAAGCTAAAGCGGGATACAAAAAGTGTTTACCGACAACCATGGCTAAGGAAGGAATTTGAATTTTCATGCTCGTGACTCAAAATTCTCCCTTGAATGACTTCGCATAGGCTGCAAGCATGGCTCTAAACTGATAGTCACGGTGAAGGGCAGATAAAATCCGTGATGGCCAAGTTCATTGCTGACTCAATAGGTCTCTAGACCTGACATTTACGCTCTTACAGAGGGCTTTCATGGTTATGCTATATCATGGAGATGACGCAGATTTCACGAAGATCACAGAAGGTCATGAAATGCTCTTAAGTACTTAGATCCCAAGCTTATAGTTCACTGAGGATAGCTTTCTTGTTGCAGCTACAATAACAGTGATGTTTAATGGTGACTTAGATATTCTGGAAGGCATCTTTAACAGTCAATTCTGATCCATATAAAAGTAGTTAAAGCACAGTGCTAATACAATGAGGTATGAATCGGAATATGCAAGTTTATTACACAACTGTAGATATACCACAAGGCAGGAACAAAGCCAAAACAAATGTTTCTCTGTTTTTATGTAACTATAGAATTACCCTTCAGGAGTGATAGTTAAATGCTGTGACAGTTTGGAACATTATGAAGCAAATCTACATGATTCGAAGGAAGCATTCAACGGAACACACTATACCCTAAAGACAGGGTGCTGGCAAAGAATTGATTTTTTTCACTTTGCTCAGTGGTTTGTGACAGCATGAATTATATCCCCAGGCCATAAGGTACATAAAAGGCTCGTTTGAGCTCAGGAAAGTCAATATGTGCAGACAGAAGCAGGACAAGTTCAATATTCCATGGAAGACAACCATCCGTCTCTCCCCGAGCCCTTTGCTGTCAGGCGTTGTGTCCTTGGAGTATTCTATCTCTGAACATCAAAGTGGGCAAGGGACACCCATATTTGTCATACCCCTGTGTTTAAAAGTTTCATGTAGCAAATACATTTATCAATTCTGACCAAAAGTTTACTAAGTCTTATGACTATGAACTGATATCTAAGAGTGGATCTTTATGAGCAGAATTTGTCCATTTTGAAGTTTTTGATCTACTATGATTTTACATTTGCAAGAGGAATATAAGGAATTATATCAAACAGGATTTCTTTGTAATGTCTTTGTCTCTTCAAAAATTCAACATTTCAGTTGAATTACTGATTCTGTCTTGAACTGACATGAAGAAAATCTGTAACCGGAAGGTGTTGCATCTAATTTGCGAATGGTATTGAGCACCCTGTAATGAAGTCATCAAGAAACCATGGCCAACACTGGGCTGGAAGAAAGCCAGTAAGCATGGGGTATGAAAAATTAACATTAGCTCAAAGCGAATACCACAGTGACTATGCCATACAGTGAATACAAATGATATGTTCTGCTTTGGACACTGGTTTCATTTTCGGTTATGATAATTTGATCTTATTACTAGAAAGGGTACTTGCTGCCATGTATACTTCTACAGAAAATTTCTTTGGTAGGTGAGTAAAAAGTGTTGTTCAGAGCCCCGAGGTAGCCATTTCTCATAATGACCCAGGAACCATAAATCCAATCCAATCAATACACATAATGTCAACATTAATGATATTACTGTCATTGACTATGGACCCTTTCATATTTTGTGATGAAGAGTAATAAATAATGAAATGATCTTACTACATGTAGTATTCAATTTCATATTATTCATCTCCAATTGTTAGAATGGACCCAAATTATAGTAAAGCAAATCAAATCAACATTCTCATTACTGATATACCCTAGCTGAACATCATACCATATACCATAGATAAACAAGGGAAATGAAAGATATTCCATGTATCTGACTGCCCAGGACTGTCCTTTCAACTTTCAAGACCTTTAGAAAATGATGAATAATTTGTGTTTTTCATTACTACATAAATGCCAAAAAAAAATAGCATGTCAAGAAGACAGTCTTCAAAATCTGCACCACTGAATTCAAGAATATCAAGTTGTTCATCGTTACATTTATATGCACAAATTTGCAGCTGGCAAGATGAATGCTTTCAAAACGTTATTCAAACCGGTGTCACCTCCTTTCATGGATCACACATATCCAATATCAATCAAGCTGATGCACTGATGTAAAAATTGATTTAGGATAAGACCCGGGGACCTTTCTTGTCTCCCCTGTACAAAGCACTCGTATATCCTTTTGAAGAATTCCGAGCTTCCTGCTTACACAATATAACCATGTAGTCCCTATGAGCTACGTCAAGCTGTACCCACTCACTACAGGTACTATTTGCTTTGAAAAAATCAGCATCTAGTCTGTATCTTTAACAATTTCACAATCTAGTTTAAAGAAATACCATGATAACAATGTACTGCAATAGTATATACAGTAACTCCAACCCACCTTCCACACAGACAACAAGGCAGCCATCCTTCCAATCTGGCAGAATTCCCAGATACAAGCTAAGGTTTGGCTCACATTCTCCGGTTACATCTGATAGTGAAACCTGAATGTTAAACGGTTGGCTGATCTGAAACCCTAGAGGTGTCTTAGGGAGCTGTGTTCCGCGGTGGATCAGACGGAGGTTCCCCGCTGAGCGCTGCACCTTCCTGGCTACATAAAACTGCCGTCTCACATCCGAGACTCATCAAACATGTGCCTCAGGGTCGGACTAACTGCCAAGGTGATTTGGTCACAGCTGAGAGGATATTTCATCAGAGATTCTGGTCCGCTGATTATAGACAGACTCGGAGAAAATATTGTGTCAGCCCTGATGTGCCGTACAGGGGGTTGATCTAACATTAATCTTATTCATGATGAAAGAAGGCTCCTTACAGGAAATTGGGTGCAACAGGCTGCACAGAGGGGTGTCGGCACAATAAAAGATTCAGTTGTTTCTTGTTAACCTTTAAAAACCATAATGGAAAAGACCATCAAGAATGTTAAAGCTGCCTAAGGGAAAATAGTGTGCCTGTCCTTGGTGCTGAATTTACCGTTAAATGGATGATGTGAATTATGGATCTAATAAATGCCCAATATACATGTAAGAAAGGAGGAAGGTACAATGAGACCATACAAAGGAAACACTGGTTTTTCATATACTGTAACACAGTACATGTATTTCAACCACAGCATATCTGTTTTTAACCTTATGCTGTCTGAACTACCATTTGAAATAAGTACTGCTTTGAAAGAAGTCCTTGAAAATAATGTAACTATCCAAGTACACTCTTGACATTTTGACCTTGTAATGCTATGCACATGCATAATACATTACACTAGTCAATTAGAGAGATTTACTGAACTTTACTCGACTAGACTTGACTTGGAGTGCAGTTGAAGGATCACCCTTTCCAGCGGACTCCTACCAGCTTATCACTAATGAGTGCGGACCACACAGTATAATATTATTACTGAGTTCACTCAGAAACTCAAGTACACGTATAACCACTCAACACGCATCAACGTAAATTTCATACCAGGTCAAGAACCTCTGAGGACTCACAACTTTTGCAAAAGTAACTGAAGGATAGAATGAACATACATTGTACTTGCAACACTTACATTAAATGCTGTTTAACTTGGAAATGTTTGAATGAAAATTTTCCACAATGAAAGAATGTCAAGTAAAAATATAAAGATGAAAACATGTTGGCTGCCTCCTTCTAAAATGTCGTGAAATAACCCTTACTGCCTAGATTCAGAGTTTGTAAGTGATATGCATGACAGAAGCTGTAACATGAAAGAAGCACTCAAAGAACAGGCAGTGCTGACGTCAGACACACAACCCTGAAGACCCCTGAAGGCATTACGTGCGTAACTCATATACCCCAGGAACATTTATTTCTATGATTGCTTTGAAAGGTTCCAAGTCTCTGATCTACCACAACCTGGTGACAAAACACACACATACACACACAAGTCTTGGAGATATCACACCAGGGCACTAACTCAATCCAATTTGGCATAAAAGCACAGGCTAGAGGACTGTTGGTTTAATATTGCTGTGTTACTGCCATGTTTGTTATCTAGTACACATAGGTTGGTGAAATTTGAAACACATGCATTCCTCCTAAGTATCATTGGTACAGTGTGATAAGGCAGTGTTTGAAAATTATGTCTAAACTTGAAAAATTCCAGACCTCCAAATACTGGACTTCAAAATTGATTTTGTATGAGGCTTAGCATGTAATCCACGATCTTGGTCTAAATTAGATCTTTACAGCCAATACCAGCCATAAAGATCACTAAATTTTACAGTGCCTACAGCCCTTTTTGATGGAAGAAATGAGAACAACCACATTTCCCGTACTATATGGATCCTAATAAAAGGTCCATCAGACCACCTTTGGCATGATTAGTACAGATTGGGTGCTGACTATTCAATGGTCTAAATTAGTACTCCGACCTCTAGCTAGGATCACAAGCATGCAAAAAGCAATCAGGAGGTAATTATGACAGATTCTGGAAGCTTCTATCCTCATTTGACATATTATTAAGAAGATTCAAATGCATAGATTGCTGCAAGCTTATACCAGTTGCTTAAATACAACAACCAAAGGTTTGCACATTTTAATATCCTTAATATTCAAATATAACATTATCAAACATATGCCTGTGTAGATGTTAATTTCATATAAAATTGAATATTCAATACTAATGATGATATGCTATTACTACATTTTCCAATAGAATGTGTTTTTTATTAACTAATTGCAGTGAAATTAGGATTAATGCTACTTTGAATTAATATATTTTAGCATATTGTTACTGACTTTCCTTTCAAAGACACAAGAGAGAAAATGATTTTCAATGTGCTTCAAGTTGATCCCAATTTCAGACCAAGACTAATAAATGGTAGCTGCTTTTACAGGCCATTTTATTGAAGTATCAAATATGGAGAAGTCATGAGCTGAACAACTAGTCACCCACATTTCTCTTTAACTTCTACTACACTTGACAGAGACATGTACAGTAACTGTAATTCCTTTTTTTTACGATACTAACTAGATTTATGTTCGCGGTTTTTGAAATTTATGTTCACGGTTTTTCCTGTCATTTCTCTACCATGAACTTATCATTACTGTTAACAAATACTAATTTGTTGATTCTCTTTTTTTCTGCACCTGCTGCCACCATGAACATATAGTTCCATGAACACCTCGGATTTTTCTCAAATCGTGAACATAACCTTTAGTGAATTGCAGTATTTCACAGTGAAAATGAAGTTCGTACCTGTAGCAGAAGTCCTCGAAGGTGCGTCTGACGGGATATCCCGCCCGGCGGATCCTCACAGTCTCCAACATACCGCTGTACCTCAGCTGACTCAGAACAAGCTCAGGGTCAAACGTGTCCGGTAACTGTAAAAAAAGACAACAATTAAAATTTATCAAATGGTTGACATTCATACTGTACAAGGTAGCTGGGTACTTGGTAGCTTTCAGAGAAAAACAGGAGAACTAAAAATGCAGAGAAAACATTATTAATAGCTTCGTTCTAAAGGATGTGAGTATGAAAAAAGTCTGAGAGCAATATAAAACCAGGCCTATACAGTTACTGTTACCGTATCATTTTCATTTTCATTTTAACGTAGGGACATTGTTTGAGGCTTAAGACTATCATATTCATACATTAAAGAATGGTAGAAAGATTTTGTACTTAAAAACAGTACGTATAGCTGAAGAACAAAGTTATGAAATACTGTCAATGTCACGCCAATGTCATCTGATACGACCTTTTGCACACCCATCAGTTGCAGGCACCAGACAGGGAGATAAGAAAAAGATGCCATTCCCTCCCAATGGTAATGTTATCATCTGCAATTTCTATAGAGTCTCCCTGGGAGATAGGAATCTGCCTAGTCAGCAGGTACTGACATCTTCTGCTTTTATCATTTAGAACCAGGAAAAGCTACCTGCCAAACTGGCAGATGGAAATACATTGGACAATGTTGCTGACTTGGGCTGAATTAGAGTTGAAAGCATTCCAATTTGTTGCTAGCACATACTTGAGGTAGTAGGTGGTCTTCATTTCAGTGATGACTGAATAGCTTTAGACAAGTGTCTGCTTATGGTGGCTGAAAATGCATGTTATATTATAGTAAAAATGATTCGAAGTACATATTGTGGCTGTTTCAACAATCTTCATGTTTTAAATTGCAAAAGAAAAGAATTTTATTTTTAGTACTATATGTATGGGAGTTGGTTAGAATTGTCAGACCCTTTCAAGGCACATGTCAAGGATTCTACTGTTACTCAGCTTTTCCAACATCGCATGCCATCCTGGTATCATTTTTCCACTAACATAAACCATTTTGGAACCACAAAAAGGATCACTCCACACCAAGTGACTATCAGAACCATTGCTGCGGGCTTTTGTGGACAGCACTTCTATATAACGTTAAAATATACCCAGGATCTAAAAGTAATTTTGGCTTGTTTGGACTGCACTCAGATTGCCGAGACGTCACGTTTGTGGAATGGGGGTTAAGACAGGGTCAATGCACCGCCGAAGTACAAAAAGCAAACAGAATTTCAATTCAGTTCTCCAGTTCTGCTTTTATCTTCCTCTTGATGCAAGTTTTTTTTGTGTGCATCATGGCCTTTAACGTCTTACACTATGAGATGATGCTCCATTGCCAACAGAACATTTAAGTTTTCATTTTCGTCTTTATTGTTGCATGTAGAAAGGAGAATTTGAGAAGTATTTGCTAATGTGAAGACACAAAAATGTGGAAGATTACTGGTAGTTGAATTTGTGAGGAAACTCTTAAAAAGGGCTGTAAAAGTGAATGAGAAACAAGTTTATTTCCCCAAAGGGTGATTGAATACAGCCAAATGATGATACTGATTTTCCTGATTGCATTTCTGAGACCATTTCTTGAGAAAATGACAATTGCAGTATTCCCAAGGCAGAAATTTCTTCTTCAATAGTCATACAAAAAACTGCTAGCAAACTTCAGTCTAATGAAACAAAAGACGTTGAAAGCTACAATATGCAGATAACCACTTAACAGGGACAGAGATGTACATGGAGACAGCCATAAGACTTGAAATCACTTCTTATCACTGACAAGCAGCCGGTCTAACCTAGACGCAGGATGCCAAGGAAGTTTGCTAAATGGGAGAAGAATTCTTACAAATTGGCAAGGATTATGTCAAGCCTGACAAGCGGAGATTATCATGATGGACACAAAGCCTCTGACAGGCCTGTGATTAGCATGATTGACAAGCCTCTGAAACACTGGTAATATGGCAGTATAGTGCATCTTTTCACTGTGAAAGTTTGTAATGAATTGGTGTATAAAAAATTACAGAGGAGCCAAGAAGATTTGTAGGAAAAAAACTATACAGACAGTCATGGAAAAGTAGAATTTGCTCAAGGGGGTTGATTAGAATTTGTAACAGAATTAGCAAACAAAAAGCAGACTGGCAAAAAATAACTTGTGGAACAAAAAACACATCCTGATATTCTAAAGAATTCCTGCTCGCATAGATTGTTCCTTCATTACCTTAAGTCACATTCCTTGTCCATTCCTTAAAACAGCCCACAGAGTTTAACATCACTTATAGAGAAAAAAATTCCACACCTTTTGAGAGTTTGGCTTGATGCACCTGACAAAGAATGGGTTAGCAGCACTCAGTGTGGTCATCAGACTCCGCAGTGACTCCTGGAAAAGTAAAACAATTAAGTCAGCAAACGAGTATGGCTATGTCCCGGTGAACGATTAGAAATCTATTTCCATAATGAAAGAATACTGGTATTACAAAGAAAACTGTCTGGCTCTAATTTTTGCATTTCTAGTCTTCAGGACTCATAAAAATATACAAAACCTGCCAAATGACAAAAACTAGCGATATGTACCATACCTTGAACTGAGAGCTGACTGTAGGTTTCTTCCTCTGTCTTGTTGCTGTTCCACTCTTCAAACTGGTGCCATTCCCGTACGCATCCGTATCAAACAGCTCGTAGATAAAGTCTGACCTGTGGGACACAACCCTCTGATATGAGTTATGATGTAGACCTCAGACAATTTGTTATTCTATGGTCTTGTCGTGATTATTCAGGATTACGACCATTGAGACATTTGATTGAAAGAGTATCCAGGGATTTTACTTTATTAATCATGTGCCCTGATGTTAATATGGATGAACATTATGCTCAGATAACATAACAAATCAGCTTTAGAATTAGATTACAAAAATACAAGCTGTGCTTTTGTGCAACCTGAAAGGAGGAAAGGGAAATTCATGTTTAATTTATTGAAGGCAAACATACAAGGGTAAACAGTAGCAGTCATAATCACAGCAATGTTACCTATACTCTAAGTATGATTACTGCAAATTGAGCATTATTCATAACGATTTTACCGCCAATGCTGGATGCAACAAATTTGACAGGTAGTCTGTTGCATTATTTTGCCAATAAAAGCACTTGCAGTGAGCAACAACACAATGTACAGTACAATGTACATGTAAAAATCACATGTAGAGAAGGTTGGACCATGTAGAGTCTGCGAAATGTTGAAACTCAACTTGACATTGTAATTTCCAAAGAAATAGAATGAGACAGGAGAGGGGCCATGGAATGTGTCCATGCATAAAGTTCATGAATTGTATTCCATCATGTGAACATTCTATGAATAAGATGCAAAGAACATGATTCTGACTTCAAGTTTACTAAAACCTTTTAAGTTTTCTGTTCTCTGAATATTGCTTTAATTACATGAATCACAGGTAATCCCAGATGTGCACTACGCAGCATCATAGAGACAACCTTATTAGTGTAGTGGAGTCAGCCTTGATTGTCTGTGCCGCTTGTAGAAAAGCTCATTCTGATTGACATTTTAGCTGAAATATCAGACATGCAGACTCCTATGGTAATGGTTTCTGGCACCATCACTCTGGTACACCATTTAGACTGCCCTGCAGTAAAGATGCTCCGAGACAAATTTCCTTCTTAGAGCATGACTACAAGAAACTAGCTTACATTGCAATTAATCTACTGTGACTGGTGGCAAGTCAGCATGTTATGAAATATGTCAGAGGCAAAGAAATCAGCAGTCTGAAAATATCAGAAATGTTTGTTAACTAGCACAGATATGTGGATAGCATATTTTATGATAAAGATTATTTCAGCAAAGGTATTATAGCATATGCTGAATTACAAAAACCTTGTTACAAATTGTTACAAATTTATACAATATTTACAGAAAATAATGTATTTACACAATATTTGTGGGGATGTATTTTGATAGTAATGACTTTGGTTTGTATTTTGTACATGTACACAGGTATTCCAATGTAAAACTGAAAATTAAAAGGAAGCCTCCGTCGCAATTACCGAAGCTATATTCAACGTGCTAAACACTATCATTTGTTGCACCTCCACAACCCTGGCTTTTACATCTCCATTACAACCCACAGGTGGAGTTCTACATGATGTAGCAGACTGAAGGCCAACCTCTCACTTAATAACCTGTCAAAGTCATCCTGGCCATCTGTTCCACCTGGGAACAAGATGGATGGCCCTGCACAGTCCCCCGGGATCAAGATTGATGGGAGTTTAATAGGTGTTTGTGTTTGTAATTCATGGAAGCCACAGGCTATTGCTCTTACTGCTCATTACACTTCTGTCTGCTGGGACATCACCTAAGTCCTTGAATTTGACTCTTTTGTTTCTGCTACTGTTGGCCATGGTTATTCTGAATAAACAATATGGCAACCTAAAGGAGACTGATCATATAATGTACATTCTTTTCAAAAGTGCAAACTTAGCAAGTGTTTGAACAGGGGTAGTACAAGAGAACACAAAAAAATTGCGGTTCTAAGAATGATTGTATGATTCTCTTTAAGCAAGCAAAATTATTCTAAGGCTATTTTCCATCATGCTTTCCATTCAGAAATGTTCTTTTTATTTCAGTCCAGCTGACAAAAAGCAAAATAACAACTTTTAAATCCCTTCAACATGGAGGTTTGATGGTATTGTACATACTTCTGACCTCTGGCCACTTGCAAACAATTTGATATTGTGCTGTTACTAGAAGAAATTCAATGTAATTTACATGTCTCCATTTTTAGCCCCCAGTGCTAAAATTAGACAAAAATGTTGTTTGATCACAGTACCTAGACCTAGAAGTTTGGCCTAAATACTAAGTACTTATAGTTGACACCCCTGAATATCCAGTAAAAATACAAGTGCTCCAAATACATGCAAGTTTGGAATTAAGTGTGACAACTTTCATCCCATGCTTGTCAGAGAGACCTGCTGTGAAATAATTTACCAGGATTAAAATAAACCATGTCCAATTGATTTTCTGTAGTACTAAAAAGAAAACAGTAATCCAGCTAGACTCCCACTGAGAGTCATTAGTTCAAGGTGGAAAATATTCCGACCCCTATAAACCCTACATGTTTCCTGGGATGAGTAACTGTCATCTGTCACTCTCACTTTTCAAACTCTCCCTTTCTGCATGTACAATAGGATCATCATGTTTACTGAACTTGTTGATATAAATTATAAAGACAATGGGAAAACAAATGCTCAAAATTCAGTTTTGAGCATGAACATCTTTATATGATATAGGATGAAAAAATATTTCTAATAACAGAAATGATATGGTAAATGGCAAATCCATGTTATGCTAACAAAACATCTATTATTAGATGTTTCCCTTTTGTTTACTGAAGTACAGTATGGCATAACTTACCTTACAAAGATAGAAACTAGGCTTGAGTTAAGATACCTGTTTGGTTCAAATGTAAGGATAACAACAAAGCATTTTGCTATAGAAGTACAGCCAATACTGATGTTCTGAATCGGTCAATGTTCATACAGATACATTGTACAAACTCACCTGCTCTCTTGTAGGATGTTCAGAATGTCATCTCTGAATGTGTCCCTGTTCTTCTCCAGAAATCCTTGGGTGTCGTAATAAACCTAGAACAGTGGCAAACAATTAGGCTAACATTTTTTGAGCTTAAAAACTAGGAGAGAGCCACAGCTGTAGCCCAGAAAGCTAGACTAAGTGCTTATTTCAAAAGGCAGTAGGAGCAAGTCCTATAACTACATATAAGTCCCATGGCGTTATAGGACCTAGCCAGTGATTGGTTAAAATGCAGTCATTTATTCACAATCATGGACCCAAATCTATACATAATGACTAAATATGAAGTGATTCATCCCCCTTCATTGTCAATTTTAACCTCCATCCGTCAAAGACCTGTCGAAAGAAAATTAATAATTATGCTCCATGCTTAACAAAGGGTTTTTGTAAAGCCAACATTTGTATGTTTGTATTACAAACACTAAATGCCTGTAATGATACCTGCAGAATTTTGTGGTGAAAAGAGGAAGATTTGAAATGTATTCTTTACTTTATGCCTGTATTGATCCTTTTGAATGCCAGCTGAGCACACAGACATAATGTGGTTATCATCTGATGATAGTTGTTCAATCTTGTCTAATAACCATATGAGGGTAGTGGGACTAAAAGGTTGGTATCTAATATTAAATTCTTTCTGGAACCTTTAAGGTAAAATGCTATGTTATGTGGTCCAGAAAAACTTTTACTGCCAAATCCAATGCTTTTTTCAGACAGGATTGAATTTGAAGAAGTTCACTCACCCCCACACACATCCAAATCAAAACTTAATGGCTCTCAAAGAAGTTGTTGAAGCTAAACACAGAGCATGCCTACCACATAAATGCAGTAAATGGAGGTTATGGTGATGAATTTTTAGGCTGTAACTTGGGTAACAGGTGCATCTACTCCCTGTGGGCATGTTTGCCAAAATCAATTTATATGGTCCAATGGACAAAACTGGCTGGTCTCCATGACTGAGGTTAACAAGGTTGGTGTCAGGCTCACCAGAATTCAATTATTGAAAAAGCAATTTTGCATGAACTATGGATGAATACCAACAGCCTTTAAAATCATACATTTCTTACATATCTTTTCTTACTTTCTACCTTTCCAAACTCTACAAATCTTTGATTTCCCTCAAAGGATCCTGTCTGTTCTGCTGTACCTTTCAATTGCCAACATGTATAATATTATGATCTGAATGCCGGCTATAGTAAAATGAAGAGACTTATAGCTCACCTCCCCTGCATAGTGCTTGATGCCAAACATTCTGCTGGCCACCTTGGGTTTCAGGAAGAAGGCATTTTCCTGAAAAGAAGCAATTAGGGACAACTTAACACTTCAAATCATAATTCTTACAACAACATTGGATCTTTCATCTTTGGTACTGCTGATCCCGCAATACAATAGATTATTCATAGAGGGATGAATAATATTTATTATCAATAATTATGTATCTATGAGGAGAAAATGTAGTCAACGTTACCATAAATTCAACTTTTATCCTAACCTTATATGTCCCCTAAAAGACGTTTTGAATCATGACTGAGAACATTAACAGTATCTGGTGCAGAATCTCAATAACTTAGTAAGTACCTTGTGTCCACCATGCAGCTTGTCCACAAAGGTGTTGTCTGTGCCTTTAGGGAAGCGACTCTCCTCATCCAGAAGGTCCAGGATACCTAGTTTCTGTAGATCACAAAAAAATGTCTTGCAATGAACACATGATCTGAAACAAACAAACAAACAAACAAACAATCATCAAACAAATCTAACAGACAGACAAACAAACAAACAAACAAACAAAGAAAAAAACAGTGGTGAAGGTTAGACATCTAGGCTATAACATACACCAAGAAACAGTTACTCAAGCAACTAGATATGATTTTGGAAACGGTCAGATGTTTCAGGTAGCATCCACAACCTTTTGTCAGCGACACTGGTACATGTAAATGCTACATACAAAACATGACAATTTGCCAGAGAAAACAAGCACAGGAGAATAAGTTGTACCCTCTCCACCAGGTCCAGACACTCTCCGTTGTCGACCCAGTTGATGTCAGTCCACACGATGCCTTCTCTGTTGTACTCCAGCTGCTCCAGTGAGAAGATGTGTTTGTTGAAGTACTCCTGAAGCTTCTCATTGGCATAGTTGATGTTGAACTGTTCAAACCTGTTGGTCTGTAGAAGTACATTTGTAACAAGTCTTTTTAGTAAAATGGGGCAAACAGACAACATTTACCTCAAATTTGGTTCTCAGTGTTTGATTTGTAGAGCATTACGTACATGTTAATTCAGTATCAAATCATAAGTAAGTGCTATGATTTAATTTTCTTCTTCAAATAAAATCTTAGAACTGTTTCCTACGGGAAGATATCTACTGGCTTAAAAATCATAACGTTACCCTGCAAACCCTCAAGCTGCAATTTCAACCAAGCATGCTAGGGGGCACTGCAGTACGTACCTGGAAGTTCTCAAAGCCAAATATGTCCAGCACTCCAATGGATGAGTAGTGCCCGTTGCCATAGATACGGCTGTTGATCTTGGTGATGATCCACCTGAAGCAGGCCTTGTACAAGTTCATGGCCAGGGAGTCACGAGAGTCTGCAGCCTAGAAGGGAGGGTGTTTTACAAAAACTTAGTGACTCTAGGAACACTTCAAAGCAACACTTTCTGTGTGGTTCAAATCTACATTAAGTCATTAACTCAGCCATGCAAGAGACAGTACTTGCTTACCAAGCCTTTGCATATCATCTTTGCTATACTTAAACAAGAAATACATACAGATTTACATATCATTAAACACTGAGCTATGCCTAAGCCTTATTTTCTTTCCCTTTAAGTTTAACTAGTAAGATTGATTTTCTGCAGGGCTCTTACATTTGAGAAAAGGTGGAAGACAGAAACGCATCAGGAACATTTCAAGCAAGAAACTTTTATTTACTCACCTCATTGACCTCTAGAGGGGTACTGATGAGCTCCCCTCTAAGGAATATTGACCTCTGTGTAAGAGCCTCGGCTAGACCCAACATGTCCACTCTCAGGAGGGAGGCAGCATTGCTAAGGGCTGGGAAAAAACAGTATGAAGATCATTATAACTGTTAAAGAAAGACAACTGTCATGGCTTCTGACTAAGAATGCAAAGAAGCTATCTAGAATGGGTTTATCAGCATTTTTTGCATCACTTAAAAAAAAAAGATTCAAAAGGCTCAAATGTTGGGAAAATTAAAATACAATCCTTAATTTAAAAACAGCCTTTGATATATATATATATATATGTCAGCAAAAGTAGATTGTGCAGTGTGCAGTATTCTATACATTCCGGTCTTGTAAAAAAAATTCTATGCTGCAATGTAACAACATGCCCCCACATGTACACACCACATCAGATCTATACCTTCACATTCCTCTGGGTCCTGTAGGAATCCTGGCAGCAGGAGGCAAACACAGTAATACATGGACAACAGGACAGGAGAGTTATAATCAAAGAAAACTGTTGTCTGAATCATCTATCTGTGCCAAGGTAATTTACAAGTTTTCAAAGGTGATATCTGAAATGGTTGAAATTTGAGAAAATGCTACTCTTTTTGCCATACGTGATCAAAAGTAAAAGACCAGATAATTACCTTGCTTGTCTGCGACCTGTGCGCCGGCTGTAGTGACAAACTTGATGTTCCCCACGTGTAAGATGGCCGCCAGCAGACACCAGACGTCCAGGATGTCCTTCTCACTGAAGTTCATCACTCGCATGGCATGCTGGGAAGGAAAAGGAACAGCCGTTAGCAGTACTCAAAGAAAGGCTGGAAATTCTGAAATCAAGGCCCTTTTTAGCCTGGAATCCAGGCTTGTTGAGCTGGTCCATTCCTTCCTTTCTTGGTAGAGGGTACTAACAGTTCATGTTTATAGTTAAAACTGTTGTTTCCAACACTTAGAATTGTTCTCACCTAGGGCTTTTGACCCACTGGGTCAGTCTATTGAAGAAGACCAGAGTGACTGGTTGAAAGCTCTAGGTGAGAATAATTCTTTGTGTTGGACCTAAAGTTTTGACTTAAAACATGTAACTATTAACACAGATAAATGTCATGACAGTTCTGAGACATTTTGACTCACCAGAACTTTGGAGAAGTCTTCCTGGTCGTTGATGGTTGGGTCGTTAATGCAGCCACTCCTGTTGAGGTAGTGGAAGTCTGATGCCTCTGTCAGACACAGCACCTCTGTGAGTTGGGAGAAAATGATCATGGCCAGTATTATTCATCATGAAAACATGGGTTCAGCACATAGCATAGACAATCAAATCCATTCAAGATTAAACATAACATATGTTGAGACCCATACAGACTATTGCTATTAAAAGCTTTAACACATTGTGTTATTGATCAACTTGGAATATCCAGACACAAGAAAGTTCAAGCACAGTACCTTTAATGTCAGGTGTTGACCCTGCGATGAGACTGTAGAAGATGTGGTAGTTCCTTTCATCAGGGTTCTGACCCACTACTCGATTTTTCTCCAACAGGTCTTCAAGATAAAGTCAAGGACAACTAGCAACAACAAACTAAGGGACTGTACGATATTTACCGGGGGGGGAGGGCTGGTGCAAAAATGGTCCGGTAAAAAATTTTTTT